CTCGTTCAGAAAGGTTCTCTCTGTAAGCTGTCTGTGCACGGTATGTAGCACAGGTCCCTGGACGGCTATGTGCAGTGCGACTTGTGTCTACGCTGCAGCGGTCCGGGATGTACTGCCTCATCTGGCTTCCTGTTGGATTCAAGGGACTGTTCGCTCATATACCAAACAATCCGGAATACAACAGGAAGAGGAATTAAATTAATCTGTAGGTCTGTTTAATATTACTTGTCAGGTACGAACCTAAAACCTTGTTTGGAAGCTGTGTTGGATTTAGAGCTGACTCTAGATCTTCCAAATCTCCAAATACGTTCATCACAATAATATCTTTCAGGGTTATGGTCTTATTTTTATCTAAAGTATAAAAACATTATTAACATATTATCACATTTTTCATTTTTAAAAATATTCCACATTTTTGGTTTATGGAGGTTCAAATGATATCTCTCCACTTGATACCCTTTATAACATGATGATATCCCTCTACTAAACCAGTTAACTGGGTCATAAACATGATACCTTTCATAACATGATGATATCCCTCTACTAAACCAGTTAACTGAGTCATAAACATGATACCTTTCATAACATGATGATATCCCTCTACTAAACCAGTTAACTGAGTAATAAACATGATACCTTTCATAACATGATGATATCCCTCCACTAAACCAGTTAACTGTGTCATAAACATGATACACATTGATTAATATCAACGCAGATAGAACACTAGATGTCGTATTTGTAAGATTTAGGGGTTTATCATTCGTCAGTAACTCTGAGGCAGAGGTTCAAAGTAGTTCCGCTTAAGCAGCGCATGCTCTCTTTCTATCTTGTAATTCAACGCTGTCTGCGCGGAACTCCTGTGGGCTTCTGCCTCTGGGTTATTGTGAACAAAAAAAAACTCTAAATCTTGAAAAGTATTCTATCTGTGTTGTTATTAATCTATGATGATACCTTTCAAACATGATGATATCCCTTTACTAAACCAGTTAACTGATTCATAAACATATGATACCTTTCATAACATGATGATATCCCTCTGCTATACCAGTTAACTGTGTCATAAACAATGAAACATGATGCCAGTATCCTTTCCGATGAGAACTCTGTTTTATCTTAGATTCAGTCCACTTTAAGCTCTCGTCCAACCACTGCACTAGTTTAAAATTAATAGAACTCTGCTTTATCTTAGATTCAATTCACTTTAAGCTCTCGTCTAACCACTAGTTTAAAATAAATAGAACTCTGCTTTATCTTAGATTCAGTCCACTTTAAGCTCTCGTCTAACCACTCACTAGTTTAAAAAAATAGAACTTTTCTTTAAATGCACAAAACGGTTCTATGTCACTGACAAAATCAGATAGAAGTGGTCAAATCCCGAAAAAAATCTACTAAGTGATCCCAAAAATATTAACAAACCCCTCAATTCATCTTGAAAAGACAGATTAAGACTTGTAACCAACATGTTACAGTGAGAATCATAAAACTGTAGTTTTTAAAGACAAGTGTAAAACTCAATTTTTGATTTTAAACAACAGTTAAATTAATTTGCATTTTGCATAGTTTTTTTTCCTATATATCAGCTATATATTGATTTCTTGAAAACTTATACATAAGAGGGGGTTGAACTACGCAAAAGCGGTTCAACTTCTCTTGGTATTCAACAAGGTGTATTAAATATCTTGTCCGGGGTTAATTAATCTATTTAGATAATTGGATTATTTAGTTATAAACGTGTTGAAGGGAAATCAAGTAAATAAAATAATTATTATCTTATCAATGCTAGCACACAGTTGCTCCTTCCCATCACATCTTCCCACAATAGTATTCTGATAGTACATGTACAGTAGTTCACTTGTCAGTGCACCTTCTAGAAAACCAGCTCCAAAAGCCTAAAGAATGAAACTCAAGTTACGAAAAATGGCATCGAGTAGAATTATACGAATTATTTATAAAAATAGATGTTGCAACCCTTTAAAGTCGACCAAGACTTAAAAATTAATGCAACTTTTGAAACTCTAGTTACTAAAGTGAATTGTAGCAACGATGAGAATCTTGAGAATTAGTTCTGAAAAGTTATTGCTAAAACAGTTGAGGTAAAGTCAACGGCCAAAGCGACAGTTGCGACACTTGTCGATCCATTCTTGAAAATTGATGCAACTTGTCATAGCAGTCTGGAACTATGTGATGGGGTTGTACCTCAAATCTTCTATAAGACAATACCATCTGTACGAAGTTTATCTCTGTGATGGTGTTGTACCTCACATCTTCTACAAGACAATACTACGTGATGGTATTGTACCTCACATTTTCTATAAGACAATACCATCTGTAAGAAGTTTATCTTTGTGATGGTGTTGTACCTCACATCTTCTACAAGACAATACTATGTGATGGTATTGTACCTCACATTTTCTATAAGACAATACCATCTGTAAGAAGTTAATCTTTGTGATGGTGTTGTACCTCACATCTTCTACAAGACAATACTATGTGATAGTGTAGTACCTCACATCTTCTACAAGACAATACTATGTGATGGTGTTGTACCTCACATCTTCTACAACACAATACCATCTGTACGAAGTTTATCTCTGTGATGGTGTTGTACCTCACATCTTCTACAAGACAATACTATGTGATGGTGTTGTACCTCACATCTTCTATAAGACAATACCATCTGTAACAAGTTTATCTTTGTGATGGTGTTGTACCTCACATCTTCTACAAGACAATACTATGTGATGGTGTTGTACCTCACATCTTCTATAAGACAATACCATCTGTACGAAGTTTATCTCTGTGATGGTGTTGAACCTCACATCTTCTACAAGACAATACTATGTGATGGAGTTATACCTCACATCTTCTACAAGACAATACTATGTGATGGTGTTGTACCTCACATCTTCTTCAAGACAATACTATGTGATGGTGTTGTACCTCACATCTTCTACAAGACAATACTATGTGATGGGGTTGTACCTCACATCTTCTACAAATCAATACCATCTTTAACTTTTCTTCCCCCCCCCCCTTCCGTAGAATTTGTTTCTCTTTGTACTTTAAATACTAAATTAATAAATGCTTTTTTTCTAATCCTTATATCTTTGCTACTTAATACTGGGGCAGACATTGGTTATTAGAAAAATAAAATTTTGATAAATCAAATTGTCAAATTTGGAAATATCAAACCATCAGCTCAAAAAGATATAAGGATTACAAAATCAGTTTTTGAAGGATCTGCTAATATTTTTTTTAAATAAAATTAAGAATTGTTTTTTTTTTTCACAGCTAAAAAATCGATCTTAAAACTTTGAATTTAAAATTTCATTTAATGATTCAATTTTAAATACAAAACATTTAAATTGAATTTATAATCTCAAACAGATAAAGCATTTTCCAGGAATGTGTTCACTTTATTGAAATCCCTAAAGCTAAATCCTTGACGTTTTCTCGTTTCTCATAGTTTAATTTCAAATATATGGACCCTTTTTTAGAAAAACTTTCATATATTAAGATTTGGAATAATCCGTCATTCTTATTTTCTAATCAAATATTTTACTGCAGTAATAATTATAACAGATATTAACCAATCGTTAGAACATTAAATAATATATTGTAAAACTAATACAGCAGGAGATCTTGGATAGCTTAGAGCTGTTTTCCCCCCCCCCCCCCCCCCTGTAATCCTTAAGATATATATTTTCTGGAAAAGGTTTGAAATGGCAATTGGTAACTGAAAGGGTTGACAGACATACAATTTAAGTGATTTTTAATAAGAAATCATAGAAACATGCATTTATGCATATTTCCTTTAAAAAGGCTCCATTAAATAACAACAATATCTAATGGCTTGAACATATAATATTTGTCAATTAGAAAAAATTTTTACACGAAACTTAAACTCATTTTTATCAAGAGCACGATCCAAGCTTTTGGAAAACAGACGAATGGAAATCTTTTTAGAAAAATCAATAAGAAAACTTGAAATAATTAATTTACTTGAAGATTTGATTCTGTGAAATCAGCTATATTCTTCACATCTGTACATTTCTCTACGAAATCTTCAATTTTCCTTATTCACGCCGCGTTTCTCAAGAACGATTTCCCTCAGATTTTATTTATACTCCCTGTCCCTACCATTGTCCGTGTTGCATCAAATGCCTGAATCTCTCTCTCTCTCTCTCTCTATATATATATATATAGAATTGAGTTGATGAAAATGCATTGAGTTTATTGTGCATTAAACTGCAGTAAATAGAATAAATTTATTTAAATAAATTCAACTTATTCAAATTTTGTGAAATTGGTCCAGGGATCCTGATCCTAAATAAGGTTTGCATGAAAACAAGATTATCTTTGCAAAAATGTAAAAAAAAAAAAAAACACGAAAAAAAAACAATATGTTATGTTTTCTTTTTTAGCCTCCACATCCAAAAAAAAATTAATAAGCTGTGGAATTGGAAGACGACTGTTGGAATAAAAGGGACATTCTTTGTAATTTCAAGTGATCTTCCATTTAAAGAGAAAGATTCACAATGTTACCCTGAGTCTAAAACTAAAGAATGCGCGAATTTTAAGTTCGAGGTTAAAAGTTCTGTAAAATAATGAATAGCTACTTAAATATTAAACTTTCTCAATTTTAAATTTGAATTTCCCGGGAAAATCTGAACCAATCAGAGAAAAGGATTTACGGAGAATATTACGTAACCATCGCTAATCAGCTGATTACGTAACCGAAAACAAAACACATTTCGAGTTACAACCGTATTTTGGGTTTACATGCAAAAATTAATTAATCTAAAACGTGAAATTTCTTTAACAAGGTTTTCACTTTTAAATATATCGTAAAGTTGAATGCCACTTTCTCAGCTGAATGATGATTGAATAATAGACAAATAGGGAAAAGGCAGGATTTCAAGATTTTAACCCTGTGTTTAAATTTTAACTCGTCGATTTCGGCGAGTTAAATATTTAACCACTGCAGGGTTAAATATTTAACCTCACGGTTAAAGTTCAGGTTTAAATTAAGTCAGAAGTGACATTTAACCATGAACTTAAAATTTAAGTCAAAAGTTTTCGTTCTTTAGTTTTGGACTTAGGTTACACTTTTTCTCATCAATAATTTGTAAGATATATAGTTTTTCCAACTTGTCAATTGTTAAATTCTGACATAGTTTCCCACTTTGATTCTGAAGCAGATATCTACAAGTCACCGTATAGCAAAAACATATTTAAGATAATGAATTGTTAAAGAGAAAATGATGGATATCTCTTGTATTCTTCAAAGCTTTCAATGGTTCCTTATGAGGATATAACACGCCACTCTATAAATGGAAATGTCCCTTAAATTAACGTCTACAATCCCTTAAAGTTAAGATTTAAGAAATTCATGTATCTCCAATGAACATGAATTCCGATATCTCCAATGAACATGAATTCCGATATCTCTNAAGGTATATTAAAAGGTATATTAAAAGGTATATTAAAAGGTATATTAAAAGGTATATTAAAAGGTATATTAAAAGGTATATTAAAAGGTATATTAAAAGGTATATTAAAAGGTATATTAAAAGGTATATTAAAAGGTATATTAAAAGGTATATTAAAAGGTATATTAAAAGGTATATTAAAAGGTATATTAAAAGGTATATTAAAAGGTATATTAAAAGGTATATTAAAAGGTATATTAAAAGGTATATTAAAAGGTATATTAAAAGGTATATTAAAAGGTATATTAAAAGGTATATTAAAAGGTATATTAAAAGGTATATTAAAAGGTATATTAAAAGGTATATTAAAAGGTAAAACTATATTTGTTTTAAAACAACATCAAAAGCAGATAAGGTTGCTTTGTTGTAGATAGATTCCAAACTATTATTCCTCCATGTTTTAGTAAAAAATAAAAACTGGCCTGTTTTTTATCCGTGAATTTCTGACTTGTTGATATATCCAAGAAGGCCCATCCTGTCTGGTTTATAGCGTTCTTGTACTCAGCGGTTGCTAGGGAGTTAGACCCTTCAATCTTATCCTTATACAAAATATTTAACTTATTAAAAAATGTAAACTGCATTAGGATTATGAAAAAGTTTTGCAATCCACCAATGAAAATAGAAAAATCTAAAAAATCTAATCCTCATATCTCTGCAACCATGCAAAGACCTGTATCAAATAGTTTGAAATATCAAAGATTTACACCATCAGGTTACAAAGATATAGGATTTAGATAATACATAAAACCCTTGTATCTTACTAAATCTGTTCCAATAAATTATAACAAATTATAATAAATCATTATGATTTTTGATTGTAATTTTCATATAAAAAAAATATATAGAAGAATTATGCTAATTATTTAAGGATGTGGACTATAGGTTACCCACAAAGAATGAGACTTATGAAACAACTTTTTATATCATTCAGTCTTCCTTCTTCGATTTATGGTCCCGTCGGCATAGCAGTTCAATTATCTCTTTTTTACATACAAATGAGTACTAGATCAAACTGTACACATACAGACGCTATAAAGAACAGGACGCTAAATGTTACTGAAGACCAAATTAGATATCTTCAGAGAGTAATGTTTATGTTACGGACTTTAAAGTCGTCTTCACAATATCTCATTCTATGTAGGTAACCCTGTACGCTGTTAAAACTTCAATATGTTTACCTGTATTTCCACAATACTGTAGGATCCATCCTTGTTTATATCCAACCTTGCTAAACAAAGAGATAAAATAAAGAAGACGACATTCAAATTTTAAATCAATCAATCTATAAAATACTAAACAATTGAGACACGTTTGTCCGAAACTTTTAACATTCTTTTCCATGTTTGAATTATAAAAACTTCAACATAGCAATTTTAAAAATTGGAATTAATAATTGGAATCGGTCAACAGTTTAAAGCTTTAGCTACGGCGAGAGATGAAGCAGAAAGAGTTTTAAATTAATTTGAGCCGATTTAAAATAATTCGGGTCAAATAAATAAAATTAAAATTACCTTTTATAGACTTAACGTCCTCAAATCCAAAACATCCAGGAAGTAATAATATAAAAAATATTATCATTTTTCAAAAAATAAGATTCTGAAAAAAATAAAATGTTTATCAATAAATGCCATATCTTAGAAATATTTGTTAAAATAAAAGATCTTGATGAAAAATATGAACAAAGAAATATGTTTATAATTTGTCAGACTTGTGTAGCTAACTGAGCATATGCGTTCATACAGCACAGCATAGATCTACAGAGCGTCCCATATCATATTAGACTTTCTCCAATCTTAAACGCCAAAATACACATATAATACTCGAAAAATCTCGCATTTTCTGCAAGAAAAAATTTCTATTAGCCTTATTAAATTTTTCAAAATGATTCATTCTTCTTAAATTTTCTGATTTGTCCCCTAAATCGTAATTTAGACCCATTGACGCGGTCTAANGGGGGATTTAAGGATTGAGTAGTTATAAGGGGGTGGAAAAGTTAAGTTTTTGATATTATTTCTGTAAAACTGTTTTCATTTTGTAAAATTATTCATGGTCTTAATTTTAGGATAGAATTAATTAAACAACAGTCATAACAGTGAAAAGAGGACTAAAAGTCGTCTTTATTTAGAGTTTATATCAAATTTGAAACTGTCATAGAAGATTTCGAATGTCGAGATCAAGGTTTGAAAATCGATAAGCTCTACTTTACATATCATTTTTACACTCTCCTGTTTTGTCTTATATATAGTCTGCTTTTTCTTATAAAAATTGCTTAGAAGTCGGCGCTGTACTCTAAAAAACGTACTTGCCTGCATATACTTAGTTTCAGTATCTCTCGAACACTTCCTTTAACCCTATTCCTGCTGGGGGGGGGGGGGGTCAATTTGACCCCCCTGTAGTTTTTTTTTACATAACTCAAAAAGTATTGGTTTGAGGCTGTTGAAATTTTCTGACTTTTCTTACATACCCATATCCCTCCCTTTAGGCCTAAAACCGGGCTTTAATACGAACTGCCTGAGTCCTCAGGAACACTGCCTGAATGACTGATTTTTCCTGTAACAAACTAAATCTTTGTTTTGACCCACTTCCACTTGTCAGATTTTAATATAATTTAGCTTTTTGGAAAGCCTTTAGGAATTGCACAAGTTTTGCGAAAAAAAATTGCAAATTTTTTGCAAACAACCTGTCAAAGGAAATTTGCACATTTTTAGTTTTTCTTGATTAAAAATCAGGTTATTTAAAATTTTGCACAAATTTTTGCATATTTGAAATGGCATGGTCAAGGGCTTTTCAAAAATGTATAATTTTTCATTTTTTGGACAAATTTTCTTTTGCAAACATTTTTACAATGTAACTTGATTTTGCGATAAAAAATTTAATTTTTGCAAATTTGCAAATTTTTTGCAGATTCTAAAAGTAGAGCACGAGCGCTTTCCAATGATGTATGGTTTTCAAGTACCCCAGCAAAGATAGGGTTAAATATTTTGAACAAATGTCTAATTAAAAACTTGATCAATCTGAAAACAAAGAAATCAGATTTTTTCTGCGAAATTGTCTAATTGCAAACTCAATTCAAAATAAAGTAAATCTTTGTTTATTCGATCAACTATATTATTAAAAATTATAAATCTCATTGAAATAATAATAATAATAATAATAATAATAATAATAATAATGATAACAATAATAATGATGATAATGATAATATTAATAAAAAAATCATAATGATAGGATACGCATCATAAAATACGAAACCAATTTTCTTCTATATTAATGGATTAAGTTCAATATAAATAATTACAATGTTAATAATGATAAAGATATTTTGTTTGGTTTGAAGGGTTCCGACCTTCAAGATGTAATTATAGTGTTGGAGGGAGATGTTAACGACTAGCTGGAGAGGATAAGAATTAGGATGATTATCAAAAATCCACAAAATGACAGGTTTTGAAACAAAAAAATTTAATTCGTTCACATTTTATTAATCCCTTGAGTTAATCCGTCCGAAATTAATTCATTGGTTTTATCCGATCATCCATTAATCTATTGATTTACTCTGTCCATCCATTAATCAGTTTAGTTAATCCATCCACCATTATTTTATTTAGTTAATCCGTCCTTTTGATCCATCTATCATTAATCCATTTATTTGATTCAACAATCAACAATCCAATGAGTTGATCCATCACCTATTAATTTATTGAGTTAATTCATTCACCATTAATCCATTGAATTCTTCCATCCACCATTAATCCGTTGATTAATCCATTTGCCATTAATCCATTGAATTGATCCATACACCATTAATCCATCGAGTTAAGCCAACCCCCATTAATTCATCATGATATTATATCCATCCGTCATTAATTCATTAATTTTGTCCGACCACCCATTAATCCATTGATTTAATCCACTCACCATTAATCGTCCACCATTAATCCATTGGGGTTAATCCATCCAGCATTAATCCACCATTAATCCATTGAGTTAATCCATCCATCATTAATCCATTGATTTAATCCATCCATCATTAATCCATTGATTACCCCTGTATTACCCTAGGTCTACTACCTGATGCTTGGCTTGTATATCCAGGCCAATCTATCTATCTATCCCCCTCTCCACCTAGACCCAACATCTTTACACTCATTTTTCTCTCTATCTTTCTATCATTGCATTCCAACCCCTACAGTCAAGGAAACTCATACTTTCAATTTGAAAAATACATGTATCTGTGAACAGAACGAGTTTTATCAGTACAAGTATAAAGCAATTAGGTGGAAAATAGCTCTTGGCTGTTTTGATTAATTTTTCCACCTAATTTCAATATTGATAAAAAATATTTCAATTAAATAGATTTAAATAGAACTATTAGAAATTTTATCTGAGGCAAATTAGTTTATACATTTTTTAGAATAACTAGAGTTTAAAGTAATTTTCTGACATGTACACAACAAATATCAAAGCATATTAAAACACATTTAATTAGTTTTACATGAATGGCAATTAGGTTTATAACACTTTGTAATGTAATTTTCAAAAAGAGAATTTAGTAGTCTATTTTTAAATATACTTAGAGAGTTGCTTCTTTTTCCCCCTACTCAACATACACCCTGCCCAGCACCCACATTCCTACAGTTTCTTTGTGCCGGCCACCCACTCCTCTACTACCCTTGGTTCAACCAGTTCCAGTAGTCATATGCTCTCCACTTCTAGCTAATCTAGCTGATCTAGTTCCTTAGTTTTTCTTGCTCAGACAGCTCCTCTAGTTCTTCATGCTCATCTAGCTCAAACAGATCTTCCATTCCATTTATTGCTTTAGCTCTTCAGTTCTTCAAGTTATAGCTCATCTATAGTTATAAACAGCTCTTCCAGATCACTCACTTAACCTTTATCTGCAGCTTCTTTAGTCACTGTTCCATGAAGAGTTGAAGTCTCCAGCTACAGTTGAGATCCCCATAAATTTTGATATTATTTGCTAAAAATAAATTCAAATCTTCAACAACTTTTTAAGGATTTGCCTCAAGAATTAGAGAAGGTAAAATATTTTTAGAAGTACATAGTTCAGAGTACAGATACCAAGATATTCTGTGTAGTGTGCTATACTGAAGATATATAGGGTACATGGGACATGGGTCTTTACTATACATTCAATTTGTTAAGATAAAAATTACAGAAAATGCATAGTAATGTGATTACTGTTTCACTACAAGATCAAATTGAGCTTCATTAGTTGTTTAATCATCTTACTTGACATATATATTAGAGGTATAGGAGTAGTGTTTGTGGTAGTTTTTTCAAATCATCTTACTTGACATATATATTAGTGGTATAGGAGTAGTGTTTGCGGTTACAGTTTGACGTATTGGTATTTTATCTTAATACGGGAGCTACGAACACCGCTCAATAGATTTAACTTTGTGTTTTATTTGTTTCACTTATCCATGATATTCAACCTTTAAATGCCCTGAAGGGACTGCAGAAAAAGCTTTAATGATCCTTCATTTATAGAGTGTATTTCCAGATTCACACCGGTACCCTTTAAACCTTTGTCTAAGATTATAATTTAATACTCAGCTTCTTTTTAAATTAATGAGTGTATTGTTAAAGAATGCCGACAAAAACCTACCCTTCCCTCTTTTCACCATATTATATAAAATCATCTACCAATTTCAAATTCAAAGTAGGTTTAGCCTGGGTTATATAGCATACTTGAATTTCGTAATTTAAAAATTCCGAAGATTTAAAATTAAACGGCATTGAACCACATTTCTGAAAAAAATGTTTGAATTTGTATTACAGTTATTTCTAAGTTTATCGTAAAAATAATAAATGGTTTGATCTATTTCCCGAAATTTTCAAGAATGGGTCTACGGTCATACAGTGGCTTGAGTATATACTTGCTACTTTATTCAGGGATGAAACTTTACTGTAAAATTTATTTCCAAACTTTTTTCAAAATTCATTGACACTGTGTCGGAATTTTAATTTTTTTTGTAATTTTATTTTTAATATTTAATGAGCGGTTTAACCCTGTAAGGTGGCCTGGGCATCCAGTCTACTTTATAGCTCTAAATTACTCTCTTTTCAGGCTACCTCAGCTCCCCTTAGCTCCTGTTTAGCAACCAGTCTTACCTCAACCTCAACCCTTACACATGATCTCATAACATGGCAAGCTTAGATCCCAACACCAGTACTCCAATCAAACAGGAGCAGAACCGGAGCAGATATGAAAACCATACCACCTCGGCCTTCCAACCGGTCTTCCAGTCCTTCTCCCGGGACTCATCCATGGACCAGAGCATGGACCAGTCCAACCATAGACGCTCCTCGTCCATGCCAGATAGATTTGATTTTGCACGGTTAGCCTCCAGCGCTATGGGTTCAGGAGGAGGGTTTGATCTGAGTGGAAGTTCTACTGATCTCCAGTCTGGACACTCGACAGAGAGTCTGGTTGAACTCTACTCTCCAACCTTCTCCGTGATGGGGACCATGGTTCCGCCGCAGATGAATCACAGGCTCCTCAAGACTCCGATGTCTCGACCAAGCAGTAGGCCGAGAAAACAGTTTGTCTGTAAGTTCTGTGATCGACAGTTTACAAAATCCTACAATCTTCTCATTCATGAAAGAACGCACACTGACGAGCGGCCATATTCTTGCGATGTTTGCGGGAAAGCGTTTCGAAGACAGGATCATTTGAGAGATCACAGATACATTCATTCCAAAGAGAAACCGTTCAAGTGCACTGAGTGTGGAAAAGGCTTCTGTCAATCCCGAACCCTGGCTGTTCATAAGATTTTGCATATGGAGGAATCCCCCCATAAATGTCCAGTTTGCCAACGGAGTTTTAACCAGAGATCCAACCTGAAAACACATTTACTCACACACACGGATCACAAACCCTACGAGTGCAACCAGTGTAAGAAGGTGTTCAGGCGTAACTGTGACCTGCGCAGACATAAGTTGACCCATGCAATCTGTGAGAACCCCGGTCGTATTCCGGAAATTATGACTCCGAGCTCCAGTTCTAGGAAGTCCTCGTACGAGTCCAATGGTTCAGAACTTCGGGATTCTGATACAGATTCAGATGTGGATGTTACAGGTAAAACAAATAAAAAATAAAATAAACAAAATAACACCCCCCNTCATTTTTTAATATTTTATTGTTTTTCAGGACTTGGTGCTGATTCTAAACTTCCATTCCAAATTCGTCTTCTGACAGCAGCTTCTAAACAGAAATTTGGCAGTAGAGCATCCTCGCCGGCCAGAAGTTCACAAAACTTTGCGGGATTTTCGAATTACCCGCCAAATATGATCCATGGAACCAATATGGCGCCTATGAATTTCAGTGATTACATGTATATGGATAAAAATCATTCAATGCAGAACAAAACACCTAAATCCAACGGATTCTCAATTGATGAAATAATGAAACATTGATGTTTTGTTCAAGTATGAACTTTTGTTGGGAAATCAATTTTCCATATAAAAAAACGCTTTATTGTTAAATAACAATTCAAAAACAAAGACACCGTTTTCATTAAATATGTTTTTTAAACCATTTATTTTCCAAAATTCTCGAAAAGTTTGCAATATGAACAAAATGTTACCCTAATAAATTTTATCACTTTATGATCTCTCTACAGTTTTTGTACATTCCCTGTGTACTGCTTGTACAGCAGTTTTTGCTTAATGCTTATCCTGGTGTATAAATAATCTCATTTTGAGATTGTGATAAAAAATAAATTTTTATTAATAAATTATTTTCTATAAAAGTTTTAGAATTTTAATTTTATTGATCGCGAGCATAAATAGCAAGTTGCATGTAGTACAAAGGTAGGTTTTTTGTATTGCAGTAGTTTTTAGGTAGAAATCTGATATGACGCATTACGAATTATGATATAAATATGTTAGATATAGAGTACAAAACACCATGATTTTATTAGTACTGCATATCTAAACACAAATAAAGTAGATAATATTTATCTGTTTGTTTTGTACAGGGTTATCTATAAAGGATGACACTGTAAAGACGACCTGAATCTCATAAAATATGAAGATTACAAGGTTACATTAAGTCTTCTGCCTTTTATATTGTCTTTTAATGGAATATTTATTGACATGGCAACGAAAAAAACCAGTTTACAGTTGCAGAGAATCGTAAATATAAGAAAATAGACAGTAAAATTCTGTACAGTCGTCTCTGAAGTCTCGAATCCTTTGTGGGTAACTCTGTATGTCCGATCATAACTTAGGAACCAGCTTTGACCAATTGTCTGAAGTATTCAAATTGTTTACATCAAATTAGTGGTCGGCAGAATAAAGTGAAAATATGAACAGGTTAGATCATGTACAGAAAATTGTATGTATTGTTTAGCAACAAAATTCTAAAATAACTTTAATATTTTCTAAAATAAACTTTATATTTCTGTTCATTTATGCAATAATGATAATGTTTAAATCAAAAAGTTGGTTTGAGAAAAAGTTTTTGTCTTTTCACAATTTTTTTGGAGAAATGAATTTGGAAGGCGATATTTATTCTAGCCGCATCTAATCATGGTTCTGCTTTAAAGTTAACTTTTACAGTTGCTCAATATTACGAATAGTTAACTAAAAAATATCGATCATTCTTTTTTAATTATTTTGATATTTGATATTTATGGAACATAATTTCTCTTATTCAGGGAATACCTGGCCAACCCTTGTAGAAAACTTAGAGATTATTTTATCAATCAAAGTTCAGAGTTTTAAATATGAAATAAATGCTGGGTGCAAAAATATAAGGATTACCGTTTTGACGAGTAATTATTTAATTTTACGAAAGTGATAACCAGAAAACTTTAGAATAGGAAGACGACATAACAAATTATCTTCAAGTGCCTCATGCAGCACTTCCAGGCCATTCTATAGTTTACTTTTTACTCATTTTCTTTTTTTCAACGTTAAACAAACAATAAGTAAAAATTTTGCTTTTATAAGTGAAGTTTCGATATTACGAATTACGATATTACTTTCATCTGAAGGTTTATAATCTATACTGGATTCTATGAAATTCTTCTGTGACGTGATCGAATTCGTTTTTGTTCCAGAGAAAACTGGACACAGTTCTTGAACTGTTATAGTTTTATTTTGTTCTTTACCTTTTTGTTTCCCAATTTTTATGAATAAAAAATATTCAATCTAAGAAAAAAATGTTTTTTTTAAAAACAAAAATTCAATGAAAAGTATTTACAAATGAGTGAAATTGAAGTGCAAAGAAATCCTTTTAAAATATGTTGCTAAAGCTTTACGTTAAAACTTTTAAATTCTGCGGAAAACATTTTAAATTAATTAAAGTAATTTTAAAGTTTTCCTTCATTTTAATAAATTTGAGCCGCGTCTCAAATCCGCTAAAAACCAGTTTTAATTGAGCGCGGGCTTAAATCTTGAAACATTGAATACAATTTTAAGCGGAACCAACCACATGAGCCACGTCTCAAATTTAAACCGCGGCTCAAATTCTTCAAATTCGGCCTCTGACCATATAAAGCTCCTTTGTTAAATCTGAAGTGACTTGCATAGGAATTATGAATCACTTTACCACAAAATATTTCAAATTATGAATTCGAGATCGAATAGTCTCGGTTAAATACATATACAGAGTGTCCCACGAAGCTTGACAATTGATGTATGATTGTGAATGTCTTCTTCCATATAATATAATATAACATATGTTAAAGGTTTATATCATGAGGTTGCAAAGATTGTATAGGGATAAGAAAATTTAGAGTTTTTGGCAAAGATTCAATTATTTTTTGCTTTATTATTATTATTGCTTATTTTTTAGTCAGAACTTTGTAATTATAGAAAATCTGCAACATTACTCTCATCATATAAAGGTTTAAAGGGTATCTTTGTGAATAGAGCTTGCCTCTTCTTTCATTGAAAGTCAGAACAACTGTTCATTTCAAAATGTTTGTTAGTAAAATTCGAATTCACGTGAAACTAATACAGTTACACATTTCATTTCACTTCTAGTAATCAACGACGGATATAAATAGAATTTGAATCTTGTGTTTAAAATTGATACCAAAAGGCCCCAAAATCTAAATAATCTCTTCAAATTACGAAAAATAGAAAGTTTAAATGGAAACGAAGGCACCGTTAAGTTTCATCTTTCTGGTAGTGTCTGATCCAATCAGGGTTCAATCAGGTGCTTGGTGACGATTCAGAACCACTAGAAATTACAACCACGGTGACATCTTTTTATCGATCTATCGTATCATCCAATTAGAGATGAATCCTAAAAATGAGTGATAAAAAGAAAATGGAAATGTGTACTTCTACTAAAACAAGGGTGAAGGGTGGATATGAATGAATATATAGGGGTGGAGGACAATGTTATGTGAGGGGGTCTCTAATCATTGATCCCTTGAGAACCCGGGGGGATTTTTGTAGATAAAAACTTATGAAGAAAACAGTTTTGCAAATTTCAAATGGCAGATAGAAAGCAATTTGTTCACAATTTGAATACCATTTTCAAAGAGCTTTTACAAATTTATAAAGATATGATTTTGAGATTATTAAAAAATTACAAAATGTTCAGCTGTAATTTGATTTTTATAATTTTCTCTGAAATATAAATTAATTAAATACATCTAGTAAAATTTTAACATATTAAGTTTTCTTAATTTTGATGATGATTAGTAAACATTTTAATCTTGCCTGTATATTTCAAATTATTTTTCAATAAATTGTCAACATTAATTAGATAAATAAAAATTTTTTAACTTTCGGTTTAAATTAGAAAAAATTTTTTTTATAAAAATATAAAATCTTCATATTTGCCTGCAGTCCTCCCCCTGATGGTTTGACTAGATATGAAGTGTGAAGGAGACTCCATATTTGTTCAACATACTGTCTAGTCCTTTATACTCCCAAGGGAGGATTATAGTGTAAACATATTTTAGTCCTTTATACTCCCAAGGGAGGTTTATAGTGTAAACATCTTCTAGTCCTTTATACTCCAAAGGGAGGATTATAGTGTAAACATCTTCTAGACCTTTATACTCCCGAGGGATGTTTATTATAGTGTAAACATCTTCTATTCCTTTATACTCCCAAGGGAGGATTTTAGTGTAAACATATTTTAGACCTTTATACTCCAAAGGGAGGATTATAGTGTAAACATCTTCTAGACCTTTATACTCCCAAGGGATGTGTATAGTGTAAACACCTTCTAGACCTTTATACTCCCAAGGGTGGTTTATAATTCCAATGAAGGTTTATAGTGTAAACATCTTCTAGAGACCTTTATACTCCCAAGGGAGGTTTATAGTGTAAACACTGTCTAGTCCTTTATACTCCCAAGGAAGGTTTATAGTGTAAACATTTTTTAGACCTTTATACTCCCAAGGGAGGTTTATAGTGTAAACACTGTCTAGTTATTTATACTCCCAAGGAAGGTTTATAGTGTAAACACCTTCTAGACCTTTATACTCCCAAGGGAGGTTTATAGTCCTTTTTACTCCCAAGGGAGGTTTAAAGTGTACACACCATCTTCTAGTCCTTCATATACAGAATAATTCACAAAGAAAACTCCAGACAGTATAAATTCCGTACAGTCGGCCCTGAAGTCTCATTCTTTCTGGGCATTCTATGTGGGTACCAAAGAAGGTTCATACTAATAGTCCCAATGCAAGGAAGGGTTATACTTTATGAAAACAATATTCTAGTCCTTTATACTTGTAATTAGCGTGTAAAATCTCTGTAAATGTAAACGGTGTAAAATGTCGTCTTCGAAACAGTTTACCTGGAAATCCGCCAAAATATGTATGTATGTAATATGTATTGTATAATGTTTATTCCCCTTCTCTACAGTCTACACCTCCGAGTTCATAACATACTCTGCAGTTTGTATCCTTTGTTTTTAGAAGAAAAATCGTGAAAAGTGAATCAAACAAATCAATAATATTTTGTGTTATGGTATCATCACAAAATATACAAGATAAAAGTAAAAATGGAAAACTCAAAATACACATTACTTCTTTGCTTAAACTCCTGAAAGAACTTATTATTTTGCTGGCTTTTAAATCTAGCAAATCAAATTTTTTTAACCTTCTTAACTTTGATCAAAATTCAACAGTTGCAGTCATTATTTTTTTGTCACATTATTCTTTACTTAACTGATTACACTTTCTATCGGTTTAGTTAATTATGTGTTATACGTTTGATATAATGTATAATGGTTTTTTCATAATTTATGTTTTTTATGGATAATGGATATTAACTGTCATTTGCAAGAAAGTTCAATATAATGTTTTTGTATTTTATTTCTAATATGTTTGAAAAGTAGTTTCTTTGGTTGTTCTGCTTCTATGGTGTTATAAAACTAGCTTCAGTAAAAGCATCTGTGAGTGTGCTGCTCCTATATTGTTCTAAAAGTAGGATTTTAACGTGTGCTGCTACTATATTGTTTTTAAGTAGCGTCTTTGTGTTTGTAGCTCTTTAACAAGTAGTTAAAAATCTCTTTATAGCGTTTAGCAACAAAATATCAATTCATATACTTTATACAATATATTCCACTGTTTTTTAAATAAATAATTAGACTATTGTTCCCTGCTTCAAACATTTAAAATGTTGATATTTAAAAATCTATATTTTATCTTCTACTTCCTTTATCACGTCGAATTTTTATTCTCATTTTGTATTTAATCTCCTGATTTTAAATTTAATGGTTTGGCTTGTTTAGTAAAAGTTTAGTTTCCAGGGAAAGCTGGGTTCCCAGGCTAGTATTGCATCTATATTTATAAAGTTGTAATCTCTGTTTGTCTTTGATTCTGTCTGGTTTTGTCCGATCCTAACTCAGGAAACCCTGGACCGATTCGCCTCAAATTTTGATTGGTGAACTCGGGAGAACAACGTAAGTGTTCTTAGCTTTTTGAGATTCTAAGTTAAGTGGACCGGGAAAAATAGCAAAATCGTAATTTATATGACTAAGCTATGCGGATTGCGGGTAAACAGTTGGAGTAACTATGAGTACCCTGGGCAACACATGGGTTCCTAAGCTAGTAGTTTATAAAGATCGAGACACCAAATCCGCCATTAAAAGTGATGGTACTGTTTACTTTTGCATCATGCAAGTATAAAAGATATACACCCCCTGGCCCCTACTAGCTCAAAAACCTAAAAATACCAAAGCCTCCATATGGGTATACGTATTTTTAGTTATATTTATTTAAGTAAATTTTCGTATGCTCAACTTTTTGCGTATATTTACGTATATTTACGTATTCATCATACCAAGCGATTTTTAAGTGCTTAGATTTTCAGAAACGTATTTTTACGAATAAATACTTTTTACCAAGTGATTTTTTTAAAGGTTTAGGCTTTTATTTTACGTATTTTTACCTATTTTTCGTTTTTTTACTTTACTTAAAAAACTGTATTTTTTGGGCAGTTTGATGCAAGCCTAAAAATGCGTATATTTTCGTAAATTTCATACCAAGCAATTTTTCTTAATTTTTATTTAAGTTATATTTTGCGTATTTTTACGTATTTTTTGTGTGTGTTATTTACTTAAAAATAGTATTTTTTTAGAGTTTAAAAGTTTGATGCTAACCTAAAAATACGTATATTTTCGTAAATTTCATGCCATGTAATGTTTTTATTTTACAAGTTTTTACGTAGTTTTCGGTTTTTCTTTACTTAAAAATAGTATTTTTTAGAGTTGAAAAGTGTGATGCCGCCTATTTTTTTGGTGTCATATATTCACGAAACATCAACTGCACAAAAATGCATTTTTTTAAGTTAGTATTAAAAAATATTTTATGATTTTTTAAAGAATTGCTATGTTAGAAACATTTTGGCAAATACAATATTTCAAACTTTCTATCATTTTAGAGTAAATTGATGTTTTCATTAGAATTAGAATCAATGGCAGTAAGTTCGCGATTTTTTGATATATAGAAGTTATGCTTTGACATCTTAGAACAGGTATAATGGTAAGTGTATGAAATATAAAAAATAATAAACAATTAATTCCCGAAGAAACAGACAAAATGTATGTATCAATGTTGATTTAGATGGATGCTTTAAAAATACGTATTTTTACGTATAGGTAAAACCTATAAATTCCAAAAATTCATAATTATTAGGATTTTTCAAACCTAAATCTACGTAAAGGAAAACCCTAAAAATTCCTGATTCATTGGAATTTTTAAGTTTTTTACATGCGCATTTTTACGTTTGTCATATACGCATTTTTACGGATATCAAACACATATTTTTACCAAGGAAATTGTTACGTAAACAGGTATGTCATACATATGGAAAAAACGTATTTTTATGTATTCCAAACCTAAAAATACGTTTATATATATATACGATCATACGTATTTATAGGGTTTCCGTTTAAGAGGGTCTCCACCAGGTTTAAATTGTAATGCACCGAGCTTTATGTAGCAACTTTGTCACAATTTTTAAAAAATCTGTTAATCCTTTTTATAAACCGGAAAACATACCGTCCCAAAGTTTTAAAATTTTATTTTTGTGGTTTATTTAAAGAACAGCTGACTGAAACTACAAGATTGTAAAGCATGACTCAATGCATTATTCATTCACGTTTAACCTGTTAACCTGGTTTTATCATATACATACAATACATACAAGGTGTCCCAATAGTAATTTAAAATAATCTTTTTACATTTGATAGTATTAAAAAAACATATTATGAATACAAGCTGCTAACTTCAAAGTGATAAATTAAGATATTTTAAACTTTTAAATTGTTAATCTCAAACAATTTACAAGGTACAAGTCATTCATTTTTATTACAATATGAACAATATAGTATGGATGGACTATTGGAGCAGATTGTATTGTATGCAAATAGTAAACACTCTGCTTTCTTATCTTTAGCCATAGTTACACTGTTAAAATATCTATTTCAAATCTATATAGGAATATATTAACTCGATACAGCGACCCCCAAAAGACATAAGAAATAAAAAACGAACTTTAAGATAAAGTTGTAATTTTAAATATTCCAAAGAACATGAAACACAGCTAGTAACTATGCCGTGTACACAAACCCATTTCATTTAAAAGTAGGTTTTCAAAATGTTAATTAAAACAAAATTAATTATGACAATATCAAATGAAAGTAAGATTTCTATCATGTCGTCCTTGCATTCCAAATGTTTCGTAGGTCCCACACGTGCATAGGTTACACACGTACATAGGTTACACACGTACATAGGTTACACACGTGCATAGGTTACACACGTACATAGGTTGCACACGTTCAAAGGTCCCATACACGTACATAGGTTACACAATTATACACATGGCTCTTCCCACACGTACATAGGTTACACAATTATACACATGGCTCTTCCCGCACGTACATAGTTTACACAATTATACACATGGCTCTTCCCGCACGCAAACTATAATGGCTGAATCCATTAAAAAATGATAATTATTTTATAGTACAAACAAGTTTATATGAAATACGAAAACAAAATAATAAATTAGTACAAAAAAGTCAACATAAAATTCGGGTTTTAGGTATTTTTAACAGTGAAGTAGAATAGATTCAGCAAACCTCAGTATACAGACTGTCCTAGTTCTAGTTATAAATATCAACAGAAGAAAACAAAAATTACATTACAAAAAAAATAACATTATTCTAAACCCTTAACCATATCGCAATGAAATCAGTACGCGATCTACCATAAAATTTGCCATTAAATCAGGGTTAATTCACCTATTATTCATCATGAACGGACAAAACAATTAATTTACAAAGCAAAATAACGTTCTATATAACCCGACAAGTCTTTAATAATTTAATAATTAAGAACAAGAGTAGGAAAAGATCATCAATTATGGAGTCAAAAAGGACAGGGCCGGCTTTGGAGAAATTATTGAGAGAAAAAAAATAAATGTTTAAATGGTATAAACGGAGGAAAACTCGAAATTTTATAAAAAAAATAAGATGAAAAGGAGGGGTTGAAGTTACTTTATAAAGGTGTAAAAAAGGATGAACAAGAAAGCAAGGAAAATATGAAGTATATTAAGTAAAGAACTGACTATAGGGTTACACTACAGGTAGAGTACTATGACGTCATAACTGCAACATGCATAGGTAACTCAGGCGCAGGTCTTGTATCCTGAAAATGCATTTAAATGCATTTCGCGAGAGAAAGGATAAATTGCTCAGTCTTACGCTTTATTCTAGAGAGGACAGAATACGTTAAACCTATTTTAATGTGTCATTTTAGATAAATAAGTTAAGATTTTTGGTGAATTTTGAACTCTTTCATTTTGGCGGGCTTGGATTTGAATATTTATCAAATATTATATTCATAATTGTTACACCATACAGGTGTGCTAGGTAGTGTATATGTTAAAAACAAGTTTAGGGACTTCACACAGTATTAGAATTTAGATTTAAATCAAATTGTGTGTTGAATTGTTGTTATTTAACCATAAAAGACGGAAAATTGTTTTAACTTTACTGACAACTCGCGCAAATAACTTCAGTTTGAAGCTTTTTAAACATCAAAATTTTGCAGCATAGGGCAATAGAACCTAAATTATAACATTTTGAGAGAAATTTTAATGAAATTTAAATTTGAATAAAAATTACTTGAAATTTACTAAATACAATATGAAAGATTTACTTAATAGAATAAAATTTTTTAGCTGGGGAAGATTTTTATGAAAAAGGATAAACAGAGGGAAAGAAGTTGAGTTGGGGGGAAGGGGGGGGGGGACGAAATATGATACATTTTACTAAAATATATCCTGCAGTCCCTATCCAAGGTATATACCTGAATATAAAGCCTTCATCTACCATGTTTAGTCAAGCATCATATTCTTCTGAACACTCACAGGCAGTATGATTCAGGCAGTTCAAGGGGGATTCAGGCAGTTTTCAGATAGAAACATAAACATGGAATTAAACGCCAGAAAAAAAACTATAAAAAGTTCAGTAAAGTTTTTGCACAAATGATATAATATATTTTAGCAAACATATGGGGGTTTTGTATAATTGTTTACGTTCAGATTTAATAGTGTCTTTGTGTCAGCACTTTACATTTAGTATTTACAGTTTTATATAAACTTTACTATAAACGAGACATTTCTTAAACACAGTGAGAATTTTTATGAATTTAAAAATAAAATCATTAATTTCAGATTTGTATAACTAGTATGTCTGTTTTTTAACGATCAGCTTGTTCTCTGCGATTAAGATAAAGGTATATATTATATACTAATTAACACATCAATAAAGGAGAATTTTTTTAACTTTTAAAAATATTGAAATCAATTCAGATCATTTTTCTGTCACATAACTAGGCGTAGGTTGATTTGATTTGATTTGATTTATTTTGCTTTTTTTGATTATTCGAAATCATACAATTGCAGATTTTTGTATCTTACAGTCCTACATTATATTAGATCGTTTATACCTTTACACTGAGATTTAAGGGACTGATAAGAAAATTTACAAAGAATTAATCATTGAAAACAATGTATAAAGGCTAATATAAAAATTTTCTTGCAGAAAATACCAGATTTTTCGAGTATTATGTAAGTTTTTTTTGGCGTAAAAGCTTGGAGATAATATAATATGGGACGCTCTTTATGTTTCAAGTATGCATGCTCAATGCTCATATAATACTGAATTTTGATTAATATGATATAATATAATATATATTATTGGGAATTTTAAGTTAAAGGTAAAGTTAAATATTTTCAAAATCCAGCTTTCCTTCAAGAAATTTTAAAGGGTTTGCCGAAACCATCAAGTTAGTCATATCTTTCTATGAAAGACGACATTTAAATTTATTTTTAAATTTTGCAGATTTCTCCGCAGATGATCTACGAGATGGGAAACAATCTTTGCTTCCCAGGACAGGTACCGCGAGCACCAAAAACGTTGTTCTTTATTCTTCATTATAATTTAAAAATTTGGCAAAGAATTTGTGCAATTTGTTATTGTTGCAACTTATCATAAGATCGTTTATAGCTTTAAATTAACCAAAAAATTTCAAAAAGAATGAATCATTTAAAATAATTATAAAGGCCAATATAAAAATGTGCATGGAGAAAATGGTAGGTTTTTCGAGTATTATGTTTGTATTTGACGTTAAATCTTGGAGATTATCTTACAGGGTGTCCCAAAACCATGGGAATTCAGTGACGAATTCGATATCATCTTAGTTATGGTTTAGCATTGTAATATATCCTAATTTCAAAAGCCAAACATTATGCCTGTTAGAGTTTATTTAATGAAAACTGTAAATGGCTGTAAAGATGTGTCTATAATGTCTCCGCAAGATGAACAGTGAAGACGGACAAGTTTCCTCTGTTTTTATACTGCAATTTTTTGTTTTACAAAGTACAACCGTATACAGTCAAAACATAAACACACAAAATGTGAGCATAGCAGACGAAACTCTTACAGATTACAGCTTTCTTGGTTGGTATCTCTATACTAAATCAAAGAATTATTGGAAAAGATGATATCGAATTCGTCACTGAATTCCCATGTTTATTGGGACACCCTGTATTTGATATGGAACGCTCTGTATAAATGATAATGATTTAAAATAATTCGGTGATGGTGATGGACTAAACCTCTGTAGAGTAAAAAAAAGTAGATGTTACCACATTTATTGAAAATATATTTCGGTCTGGGTTGACCCTCGTCAGTTCTTGAGATTGTTTCTGTCAGGAAGATTAAAAACAAGTTTCGAGCACATTTTTAGAAATCCAGAGCGTCCCAAGTCCTTTTCGATTATTTCAAAGCCAAAATACGTACAGAATACTGAAAAGAACCTTCTATGCAAATGTTTATTTAAACGTATTCCACAATTTTTAATCTTCTTTTTACTGGGGATTTCCAAAAAAAAACTCCATTTAGATCAATTGTTTGGATGCATTTCCATCCTTGCTAGACAATATGCTTACAGTCCCTATAAACAAAGAGAATAGAATATATATCAGAAAAAAGTGTAAAACGGCCATTTTGTTGTACTATTTCCATAGTGCATGTGTACTTCATATATTTGTGCTATATAACCTTTTGGGTCCTGGACCATCATTTTATAGAAAATCTAAAATTAATGTTAAAAGAAAACCAAATTATGAAATAGGCTGGTTTCATAATTGACCAATGATCATTTCACATAGACTATCATTTGACTTTACAAACGATGATTTTCCGTTATAACTATAAATCAAATGATGTTTTTCATTCACCAAATTCATTTTTTAAAGTTTATTTAACAGCTTAATAAAATTCTAAATTGAAATGGATAGTCTAGGGAACATACTGTATTACTGTACTCTATTGCATATAATTTGTGAACATTTACATGATTTGTACACTTTGAACTCCCTTTTAGGTTGAAAGGGACTGACAAAATTCATACCGAGGGATTGTCTAAATTCCACTCTAATATATATTCTATTCTCTTTGCCTATAAAGGACGAAGAAGACGACGAGAATTCGGCACTATTTTCTGGTTCTCATTGTAGTTGAATTGATAAAAAGATTTAAATCTCTTTTCTCAAATTCTCCTAAAGTTAAAACAGTGGAATGATATATTCCTCTTCAATCTCATACAAATAACAATTTAAATTTCAAAATAATAAATCACTTATGTGGCAGCAATAGTTGACTGGTTGTCAAATGAGTGGCAAAAAATTTCTTCTATTCGGGTGCAAAAAGTCGCTTTTCCTAAACAAAACAATTGCTTATTTGGCAGCAAAAGTTGAATACTTTTGATACAAAATAAGCAATTGTTTATTTCGAAATTTAGAGTGAAGAATTCCACAGAACTTTATGATTAAATTTTACTAAACCCATTTTCTTGAAGATATGTTCTTGTCCGTGAAATTCAGAATTCATTAGAATGCCTTGTATTTAAAAGTTTCTGAAAATACAGTCTATATATACATTGAGAACCAGAAAAGTGTGGAACAAGAAGACGACATCAAAACAATACACTTGTAATAAGTATATTATTTAATTAAATTGGTCTGTTTACACTGCACATTTGTCATGTTTCATGTTCATTAACTGAAGTCTCAAATTCCAAAGTTTTCTGGTTCTCATCTGAATGTAAAACTAAACTTTCATGTACTTCACAACATTTTTATTAGAAAGGATTGTCCCGCCCTCCCAGAGATTTGAACGGGTTTCTAAGGGATGCAGTTGAGCAGGAAAACCAGGGGGAGGGGAAAGAGAACAGGAACATATCCTGGGAGCAGGAGTTCAGGAGATATCTAGAGAAAAACCAGGCATGGTTTCAGGGGTCCTAACTAGAAGTTTAATATAATCATTTTATATCTCAATCCCATTTCTTTTTTGAAATTCGACCCTCTCCGTTCAACGGTATTCATTAAACATTTATCTGATCAATAATGTGGAGAATATCGTCGTTTTTCTAGGTCAAAGTGTTTAATTCTGTCAATTTTCTCTGCTGTTTCCGTTTTCACCTCAATCAATAAACTCCCATTTTCAAAGAGAAACACATTTCTCTCCTAAGTTTAACCCCTGACAGTGACACTGTATCAGACTGATCTGCTGGTATACCTGGATTTCGTCCTGGAGACAGAGAAACTGATCATGTTGGGGGAGGAGGAGAAGGAGGGTAATCCAACCAGGAAGAGAGCAGAGGAGATCAGGTACTTAAAGTAATTTTATAGACATCAACCCCTTGATAATTATCTAGTAGTTTATGCCGCTTAAATTTATATGAATAGAGCTGGGAATTTTAATACCGATCTTGTACTGCTTAATCCTCTATTTGGATAATTTTAATCCCGATCCTGTACTGATTAATCCTCTATTTGGATACTTTTAATACCGATCCTGTACTGTCTAATCCTCTATTTGGATAATTTTATTCCCGATCCTGTACTGCTTATTCCTCTATTTGGATACTTTTAATCCCGATCCTGTACTGCTAAATCCTCTATTTGGATACTTTTAATCCCGATCCTGTACTGCTAAATCCTCTATTTGGATACTTTTAATCCCGATCCTGTACTTCTTAATCCTCTATTTAGGTACTTTTAATCCCAATCCTGTACTGCTTAATCATCTATTTGTTCTCTCTTGTTTATATCCCTACAAGATCCTGTACTGCTTAATCCTCTATTTGTTCTGTCTTTTTTAATCCCGATCCTGTACTGCTTAATCCTCTATTTGTTCTCTCTTTTTAATCCCGATCCTTTACTTTTTAATCCTCTTCTTGTTCTTTTTTTTAATCCCAATCCTGTACTACTCAACCCACTATTTGTTCCCTTTTTTTTATATCCCTACAAGATCCTGTACTACTTGTTCTCTCTCTTTTAATTCCGATCTTGTACGTTTTAATCCTCTTTTTGTTCTTTTTTTAAAATCCCGATCCTGTACTGCTCAATCCTCTATTTGTTTTATGATTTTTATTATCATCATCATTAGTATTATTATTATTATACTTAGGTACTGCTTGAAGAGGTAGGGAGAAAGCTACGTGAGTTGACCCCTGCTGACCTGGAGGATGGTGTACGGCTGGTGATAGCGGCCCGGTCAGATTATAAAGTCTGGAAATCCGGACTAGACAACGCGTACAGGTTGGAGAACATGGTTTACAACTATTTTATTATTATTATTTTTATGTGCGAAGTGCTAAAAAGGTTTTGAACAGAAAATTTCATTTTATCGGAAGGTTTAGGTTCATTATAAACGAAAACTAGTTTTTTAAATGGGTAAGATAAAGAGATGATTGGCACCTTGCCTTGATTCAAAGTGTTTATTTCTAGATATATACTTTTTAAAAAAGCATAAATAAAACAAATCTATTTCATTATTTTTTAGAAATTATTTTTGCAAAAACGCAACTTTGTTTTTTATCTAAATGAAGAAAAAAATATTCCAGAAATATCCTATTTTTTCAAAGAAAATCAGGGAACTAATTAAACTTTATTTCAATTTGTTATTCTATGAAGCTTTAATAAAATCGAGCCTAAACTATACATGAATGATAAAGTACACAATGGTTTAACAAGTTTTGATAAATGATATTTTGTTTAGGAATTTTATTGCCTCTGATCCTACCCCACCTCTGCAAGCAGTTTTACTATCCATCCTGTAAAATATAAATATCTCAGTTTATTTTATAGAGGCTCAAAGCAATAAGCTTTCACGGGAAAAATTATGTGCTTTTTTTAAATATTCATCTTATACATCGTTCATTCATATTTTTCAGCCCTTTTTTGGCCAGGATAGGCAGATTGTCATGAATATCATGTTGAAATCACAATGAATGAAAAACAAAAAACCCCGGTCCAAAATAAGTTAACTAGAGAAGTCGGCAGCTTAATTTTGTAATGATATGCATTTCTAAGTGTTTACACAAATTAGGTCTGTTTATCAAAATATATTTTAGTTTATTAAAAAAAGTTCAACAATTTTCATTTGATTTTTGTTGTAGAATTTTTAGCAGAATTTTTGGGTCTGCTCACGTAATTTCAAGTGACCCTTCTTGCGCATTTGTACTAAAGGACAACCATGGAAAAATTATCCAAATTTAACTCCCTTTAAAACATAAAAACAACGTTATCTTTCACATTATTGATCAGATAAATAAATTAAGGCTACTCGAAAGTTACTTTAATCTCAATTTGACCTTGTTCTATTTTTACCTCCTTCACAAAGTACTTTATCAAACAATGCAAAAAAAATAGGTTAAAGAACACATTTTCTTTGGTGTACGCAAAAAACTTTGTTATTTATTCCTGATTGTACTTTTCACTTTATCAGTTGCAGCTTTTTTTTTACTGTTAAAGGCATTCAATATGTTTTTCTTGCCTTTCAGACGTGATCACATTTTTGTAGAGTTGTTTAATGTTAAAATTCTAAAAATTGTTATATTTTTATATTTAAAATTGGAATAAACTTTAACATCTTTCATATGTATTTCAATTTTCTAACCAGGCAATGTGATATCAATCACTTTTTTTATGAATTTAATGGGAACACTATATGGTGATGCATTTCCCAAAGGCTGCATTCTCGCAAGAGCGACTTTAAATAATATTTTTTTGTATCGAATAAACGTCAAAACGGCTGAATCAATCAGCAATTTGTTTTAAAGGGTTCCAGTACAAAAGGTAGAATTACAAAAGGTAGAATTACAAAAGGTAGAATGACAAAAGGTAGAACGATCATGAGGTAGAACGACAAAAGGTAGAACGATCAAAAGGTAGAACAAACAAAAGGTAGAATGTTCAAAAGGTAGAATTACAAAAGGTAGAACGTTCAAAAGATAGAATTTTTCAAATTAAATTTTTTTTGTTTAAATGTCAAAAAAAGTTAAAAAATAATGTTTCTTATTTATTAGGACTAATTTTTATTTTACAAATGTACATGATTTTAATCCATGCCATGCAATAATTTTGGCAAGCTGTTTTATAAGGTCATGTTTTTAATCCTAGTGCGTTTATCTCTCTGTTTTTGTTTGCCAGCGTTCTCAGAGCTGTTTGCACCACTGGCAGAATCAAGAGAATTTCATATTTCTGGTCGTCAATCAATGCTCTTTTCTTCTTTTCATTCACTCCATAGTTGACCAACCTCTCCATGCTGAATTCAACCAAGAAATGCAGTTTTGTGAATTTTTTTTTCAAAAAATCGCGGATTTTCTTGTAAAAATTAGAAAATTTTCTTCCTTCTCAAAAATGAAATAAAAATTCTAACTTTTGAACGTTCTACCTTTTTGTAATTCTACCTTTTGAACGTTCTACCTTTTGCTTATTCTACCTTTTGTCATTCTACCTTTTGTAATTCTACCTTTTGTAATTCTACCTTTTGTACGTGAGCCGTTTTAAAGAACAACGAAAATGATGACTTGAATATCAGTTATTATTTTCTAATTTTTATTACTATTTTTTATAGATATAATTGATAATAGTATTTATAAAAGTACAGGGAATCTACTTATAAGTCCGAATAGTATTTATAAAAGTACAGGGAATCTACTTATAAGTCCGTATTACGTAACAAGCACTCGCGCCAATGGAAGTGCAGTATAGTGGTCACTGGTCACTTGTCTCCGTCTGTATCACGTGACCAGTATACTGCACTCTTATTGGCGGGAGTTCTTGTTACGTAATACGAACCTAAAAAAAATATTATCAATTATATCTTTAAAAATGATAATAAAAATTATAAAATAATAATGGGAGAAAACCTAAGTTACAATTAGGTTTCTCTGGGATATCTTCGTTTTCTTATAGCTTGTGGATTTGCTTAATATGATCTGTTAAACCTACTTTTGCTACGCAAAATTGTATTTATATATATATATGAATTTTCTTATAAATTTGACACAGATTTATATCAATTTCTCGAGACCGGAACATTCGATATAACTTTCATGGGTCGCGATCAAGAGCTAAAGTGATTAGCTTTCAGCCATACCCCCTTTCATTTTACCTTTACAGTCCCTTTAATAGTGAATTTTTAAATCTACTTATTATTACACTGCAAACTGGACAGAAGAAGATTGTAAAATATATGCGAAATCACTGGTACAACTTAGAGACCTTGTACCACCTCCACTAGTTTTGATTTTCTGTTTGAGAAAAAAAAACTTTTTTTGATTTCATATCAGAAATTTTTGTTATTCTTAACAGCTCTTTAGAGGAGTTATGATTAAAAACATGTAACGTGCAATTTACTTTGGTGTGACGTGATTAACGCACTGGTGAGTCTTTAGCTGATACGTCTGCTAAGGGTTCCAATATAACCGATGTGACTATGATCAGAGACCGAATTTAAAGAATTTGAACCGCGTAGCTGAACCGCCAATAACCGGTTCCAATTAAGCGTCGGCTCAAATCTCAAAACACTGATTATAATTTCAAGTGGAAACAACCGAAACAACCATGTTTCAAACTTTTTAAATTCGGCCCCAGATGTATTCGACAGTGTAAGCTTAAATCTAGTTCCTTCTTTTGAAGTAAAAACAGGAATGTTTTATTAATACAGTATACATAATACATATCACTATTCACTGGAAACTAGACAGAAGAAGGTCACATTAATGCGACATCACTGGTTCCACTTTGAGACCTCGTAACTCTTCCAGTTTTGATTTTTCGTTCAAGTTTGAGAATAGCAAAATTACACTTTATCAATTCAACACATCTTCTTCATTGCTGTGCAATAAAACTAGCAATCAATATAAACATAACAGATTTTAATCATACATTCAATCTACTTTAGTTTGACTTAATATAGATGTGGTGCAACTAATATAGGGTTAGTGCAACTAATGTAGAGGTGGTGCAACTAATATAGGGTTAGTGCAACTAATATAGGGTGGTGCAACTAAAATAGGGGTGGTGCAACTAATATAGGGTGGTGCAACTAATATAGGGTGGTGCAACTAAAATAAAGGTGGTGCAACTAATATAGGGGTGGTGCAACTAATTTATGCTAATAAATGCGTATTCAATGTATGTCAACTAATAAGTTTTAACTTTTAATGATTTAACATTGCTTTCTATGTCTAATATTGTGTTAAAATTTCCGGTTTACGAAATGGAAACTGGAAATCTTACGGTTTACGTTACGTAAATCGGAAAAATTTCTGGTTCACGGAAGGGAAACTGGAAATTTTACGGTTTCCATTCTGTAAACCTGAAAAATTTCCGGTTTACGTAACGTAAACCGTAAACATTCCTGTTTCCATTTGTTCCGAAATTATTCCGGTTTACGCAGGGGGCGGAAACGTCATGTGTGTGTGTCTGTACCAAAAGAGTGTGTGTCAGTTTAAAGTACCGAAGGTGTGTACTGTAGGTTTATACAGTACGTAAGAATCTCGGTATTTGTACAGTCTAGGAGAGTACATTTGTTTATTGTTAATTGTTTACTTAAACATATGTTTAATATACATGTAATATATTATTTACATATTTAAGTCAACACTATAAAGCCAAATTTTTATGCAAAGAATATAATTTGATTAAAGTTTACAATAAACTACTCGTTATTCAAGTTTAATTATAATTGACGACATTGTTCTACAATTTCCTTGACTGTAGTCATGTTGGTGTCTGTACCAGAAGAGTGTTTGTAAGTTTACTGTACTGGTCTGCAAAGCAGTGCGACTGGCTTTCTCTTGCCGGACCAGCGCCATTTCCTTTCCCTTTATTCCTGTTCCCTGGGTTTACGCAACAAATTTCCGGATCATTCCATTTCCAAAATGGAAATTTTTTCCGGAAAAATGGAAACCCTAGGCATGAGAAAGCCAGTCGCACTGCTTTCTAGACCAGTACTTTAATCTAACACACACTCTTTTGGTACCGACACACAACATGATTACAGTCAAGGAAATTGTAGAACAATGTTGTCAATTGTAATTAAACTTAAAGTGTTGACTTAAATATATAAATAATATGCTACATGTATATAAAACTTATTTCTAAGCAAACAATTAACAATAAACAAATGTACTCTCCTAGACTGTACAAATACCGAGATTCGTATGTACTCTATATACCTACAGTACACACCTTTGGTACTTTAAACTAACACACACTCTTTTGGTACAGACACACCCCCATGACGTTTCCGCCCCCTACATCTATCGCATACTCCTTGTCCAAACCTTACTTGATCCTAGTCTATAAGTTCAAAATCTTGGACTTATTGATACAGTTCAAAGTCTATTCTAGTCCGGAAACATGGATTCAGTCTGCTATAAAATGTTTTTTTCGTAAAATGGGTCGCAACGCCTTTAGCTTTGATTTTACGACTCTACTAACAAATTGTTTTTTTATAGCCCTAAGCATGTAAATTTTAAAAATAAAAGGCATTTGTTTTTAGCTGTCTTTAAGAAGTAATTGAAAAAATTTCAACAATTTTTGCTTGAGAGCTTGCAAGTTGCAACCTTTAAATCACAGTGGGGTGTAATAGTGCATATGTAACATTACACTGCTACAAATCCCATAACACAATTTGTACATAAATTGTTACTATTCAACCTGTGAAGTATAGTTTGAAATAAACATTCATATCATTATTATTATTATTACTTTTTGTTTAACTTATAAAGTGTTTGAGGGGGTTCTGTTAAATCCGAATTAAATTTGAACTAAGGTTTTTTTACATTTGGATAAACTCTATACAATAAATAACATTTTTCAATTCCAAAATTTTTTTAGACGTCTTAAATTTTCTTTATTATTATTTTTATATCTAATATTTTTTACTTCTATGACTTTTACGATGACTTTGATTGCAGTCACTAAAAATTATTCAAATAAAAGTTTCTGTCAAATAAATTACTTTTTATTGTTTTAACAAAGTTTTTATCATAAATGTAACAAGTTCTCATTTTTTTTCGATGTCAGTTTCTTCACGTAATTGACAATGGTAAGATGTTTCAGTGTTAAACAATCTACATCAAAAGTTTTAAATGTTGTGCGAAAGGAATTAATCTTTGCCACAAACTCTAATCTCTTTCTCTTTGCAACCTGATGGTGTAGACCTTTAATGTTTCAAACGTAGAGTATTTAATCTAATAGAATTATTAGTTTGAAATATCTAAGGTCTACGTAATTGGGTTGCAATACAGAGTTTGTGACAAAACCTTAATTCCTTTGTTTTCAGGAGCAAATTCAACTGTTTTATTCTTCTCCAAACCAAACCTAACGGTTTCTTTAAGATATTACCAAAATTATGTATATTAGTAATGTGTGGATTATACTTTACCGGGCTATATATAATTTGGTTAATAGTTAAAATTGTAAAAAAATCCGTACAGAGCTGAAAACTTTAGAATGGTGGATATCGAGATTAATACTTGATCCTTTTCTTAATATCGAGACAAACCTAATCTTGTACTTGTATCCTGAAAAGTGAATAAAATTTAACCAATCAGAATCACGTATATGAAGCCGATAAATTTGAAATTTTGCGCGCCATTTAAGATTATATATACAGAAACGGAAGGGAGTCTCTAATTTAGAAAAACCGGTTTTTGATTTTTCTCACTATATCCAAGAAAGAACGGTTTAAGAAGAAAATCAAAAGTGTGTCCATTTGATACTCAGATTTAGTCATCGGGATTAAGGATTTCTCATTCTAAAGTTTTTAGCTCAGATCTGCCTGGCCAGGAACTTTTCATGCAGGATTTTGCTTCTTTAAGATAAAACAGTTTTAAGAACAACTTTCTTTTTTCAGAACGCCGCTTAAAATTTTTTATTAATGTTAAAAAATGCCATGTTTTTCAGTGCACAGTAATGTTTTTTTTCTTATAAAAATATTGTTCAGTACTTTTTAAACCAATGAGAATAATTTTTCTTACTTTCAATTCTTTTATTGATAATATTATTTTTATCATCAAACACTATAATGCTAAGTGATGTTTAGTGTTCAGAACCTAAATAATATCAAAATTATATGACTTTGAAGGTAGTTCTTTAAAAGGAACTTATGATCGATAATGTGAAAGATTCTATTTTTTTCACAGCAAACCTAAAAGCTACGAGGTCACTTTATCTTTTAACTGAATCCTAATTTTTGTTATGAATATTTTTTGACGAATATTTTTTCTTTCGAAGAATGAGATGTTAAAAATAATTTACGTCATTAAACATAGTAACCTCTATAAAATACTGTGAATTTGACACTTTCTTTATTCATTTAAATAAATGAAGATTAAATTCCAAAACCCATAAGTTATTGTAAATTTGAAAAAAATCCACAAACTCAAATTACTTAATATTTAACAATGTTATAACATATTAAACATTCTAATAATTGTAAACCATAAAACGGAAAATATAAATATTTAGTTTTAACATATTACTAATTTTTTATTTTTTTTATTTTTTTTTAACAACGATTTGAAGCCGAAGCTATTATTAAAGGTTGTAATTTCAAGTGACATTCAATTTACAGCATTTCATGAGAGATATCGTATTTAAAAATCTTATTTCTGTGACGCATAAATATTCAATTAACTAGGATAGAATATCAATTTTTGTATAGAAAAATAGAAGATCACTTGAAATCAAGTGTACAGTCCCTTAAACTCTAGATTTGGATTCGAGTGTGGCTGTCTCTCCTGATACTTGAAGCAGTTCTAGCTCAGAGCCCCCGAACCAGGAGAAAGAAAATAGTGGAAATGGAAATATCAACTGCTTGCTCCAGATGTTCATTCTGTGAGAGAAGTCCTGGATTAGCGGACAAAAGTAAACAAATAAAATAAGGAATTGTGTATTTGCCACAAACTCTGATATTCTCATCCCTTTGCCTCTGTAGATGATGTAGACCTTTGATATTTCAAACTATAAATTTGGCTAGATTAAAGTGTCTGAGATTGAAAGCTCAAAGGTTTAAACCATCAGGCTACAATGATAAAGGGATTAGAAAATTTGAGTTTATGGCAAAAACTCAATTCTTTTCTATAATGGGGTTGGTCAACTTTAGAAAAAGGAAAATTGATAAATATGTAATGTTTTAAAAGACTAAAGATTTAATTACTTGCCAATAACTCTAATTATTTCCATTCCTTATATCTTTGAAATCTGATGTTGCAGGTTTTTTTATAATTCAAACTATAAATTTTTCTAAATAAAATAATTTTAAATGGTTAACGTTTTAGGTATCAAATAAGCATAAAAAGGTGGTTGCTCTCTGGCCTGAGCTGAAAGCTTTAGAATGGTGGATATCGAGATCAATGCTCTCTTTTTGCTAATTTCAAGACTAATTTAGTCTTTAGATTCATTTCTAGAGGTTAAAGATGCGCTCTTTAACTTTTGTAAACCTGGTTTTTATTTTTTGGTGAATGTTTATTTAGACCAACATTCAAAAGAACTATAGTCATCAAATGTGATAAAATATGTCTTTTAGTAAGTTCATATTAACATGATTAAATTTATATGTAGTATGTAATGTAATATCCAACGAGAGCGAATTAAAATTAAAAGTTTCAAAGTGGATATTCAGATTAAGCGATCAAGATTAAGGATATCCAATTCTAAAGTTTTTAGCTCTGTACACTTTTTCTTTAACTGTAGTCGTACTTTAAATAAAACTTTTCATTTAGAGTATACCTACAAATAATATGCCAATTAACAGGGGTGTCAAACAAGTATTTTTATTTTTTTATTGAGGGCCAAAATATCCACTTTCGAATTCTTAAAATTAAGAAATGTTTGATTTTGCAATTAAATGCATTTCTTTTCTAATTTGTCGAAAAATAATAATTTTTGCGATTGAATAAGGAAATAATCGAAGTTTATAGTTCCAAAAAAAATTATCCGGAAAAAGTTTCTGTCTACTACACTACAGTTCCGCAGACTACGCGCGCTTAATATCTCATATTTAATTTGAAATTTGTACCCCACCCTACAAATCTGCAAAGAAATAGAAAAGAGGAAGAAGCATTGAGACTATAAACAAGTATACAAGTATACTGAAACTGGTATTAAAGTTGTCGCAATAAAAAATGCGATATGAAATATGCATTAAAAAAAGTTTTAAAATTCCTCATTATTTGTATTCTAGAGTTTGAAACATAATTTCTTTTGAATTTAACATTGAGAAAATATATTTTCTTGAATTTAAAATTTTTAAATTTCTATATTTATCCAAACCTTGAAAATGATTGTCTATATTTATCCCAAGGTTGGTGTGCTAAAATGTGTGAAAGATGCCAAGAGGGTAAATCTGATATTTCTCCACAATCAACTTGTGCCTATTGTCAAAACTGTACATCTAGTTTGGTCACAGCTTCTGCAGGAAATCCATTAAATATCTTCTCATGTCAACATTGCTAGACAAACAACATACCAGATACTTTATTATGTAAACGTTGAGCATTTTTTCAAGTCATAGAAAAGTTAATCTTTAGATAAAAAACGCATAGGAGACCCAAAATCTGGTATTACACATTTTTACTGCTGAATTTCGTTGATATACAGGGTGTCCAAAAACATGGGAATTCAGTGACGAATTGAATATCGTCTTTGTTATGAATTAGCATTGTAATACCTGATTTCAAAAGCCATAATATTATTATGTCTGCTAGAGTTTATTTTACGAAAAGGGTAAAAGATTGTAAAAATGTGTCTATAACGTCTCCGCAAGATGAACAGTGAAGACGGACAAGTTTATTCTGTTTGTATACTACAATTTTCTTGTTTTACTAAGTACAACCGAATGTAGTCAAAACATAAACAAACAAATTGTAAACATAGCAGACTAAACTCTCACTATACTAAATCAAAGAATTATTTAAAAAGACGATATCGAATACATCACTGAAATCCCATGTTTATTGGGACACCCTGTACTTCTCTTGAAAACTACAAATACTAGATCTGGTTGTTTCTTCTTTTATAAACCGAACTAACAACTGTATAACAGGAAACTGTTCACAAATACTAGATCTGGTTGTTTCTTCTTTTATAAACCGAACTAATAACTGTATAACAGCAAACTATTCACAAATACTAGATCTGGTTGTTTCTTCTTCAATAAACCGAACTATAACAACTGTATAACAGCAAAGTTTTCACAAATAAACAAACTTTGGTCGGAAATATTGCTGATCTCTTCTGAAAACATTCATCCATAAATTTCGTGGTTAATCTGATTAAATCAAATCCTTTTAATGATTCAAAATAATCGACCGATCAGAAGCAACAAACATTCCTGTTGTGAGTCAGCTATTTCTCACGAAATATGTTCTTAATCGCTTCAAATAAAAGATATCTGCTCAGACATAAATTCAGACATTAAAGATTAGCGCTAACTCCTCAAAAGTTTCGAACTCTTTAAAAATTATATATTTAATGAAATGGATTATTAATAACAGCATTATGTGAGAACAATTGTTATAAATGTTCTGAGAGACTGAAAGAAAATGGTAATTTTCCTTTAAAAAAAAATATTATGATTTTTTTTTTACTTTTAGAAAACATGTAAAAATATTTTTTTCTCTGGTTTTTTAACAAGGAATACAAGTTACCCGAGATTACTTATTTTATGTAATATCTACTAATCTTAGTAATTTAATGTAACTAAGACCAGATTTTATAAACATCGAAAATTAATAAAACCACGTGGACAAAGTTGAACTACGTCTACGCAGTTCAACTACTATCTACTACAGTTCTAATCAGAAAGACCCGGAATTAATTTACAATTAATCAGACGAGTCTACAATATCATTTTACAAACATGATTGATGACACGATAATCACAAAATAGCCATTTACAAACCTTCCTGATTAATTGTCAATTATTTCATATTCTTTCTGATTATGATTGTATCTGAGTATACTTTCCAGTAAAGTTAAATATTTTTGGTGAAAAAATGAAGAAAGCTAAATATTTCAATTTTTAAAAAAATTCCTGATGAGCCAGCTACTTTTTTACGTCTAGGTGATAACGTTGAAGAAAGGTGCAACGTTTGCTGGAACAGATGTACTCCTGCTTGGACGTTCAAATTACGTAGGTTTATCAATTTAAAAAAAAATGTTTTCGATAATTAAAAATTATTTGTAAAGATTTTGAGCTTTTGTCATTCAGCTAGTATTTGGATTTTGCCCTTTCGTCTAATATTCATATATAAATTATCTGTATCTTTCATTAAAAATTTAAAAGATTTCACAATTTTTTTTTATAACATTCTTTATCCATTTTGTTGAAAAATGTCAATGTAAAGGGGTAAACTATAACATCTAAATTTCAGCGCCAGATATGTGTGAGAATTTATGCAAGAACTGTAAGAAAAGGAAGATAGGAAAGGGGAAGAAGGAGGGTGAAGAGCGAAGGAGAACAACAACAGTAACAAACGAAAACGAATCAACAACAGAATGTTTATCAACAAAAAAAACAACACCTAGACCTAGATTAAAGTCCATGGCCTGTAGATATTGCATTATTTGCATCAATAGGAGAATCGTAAAAAAGGGTAAAAAGTATTTTGTCATGTTTGTAAAAAAAATTTATTGAGGTTTTGAAAATCCTTTACTGGTTTTTTCTGATTAATGCCAGAGCCTCAAATTTTAACCAATTTCTATTTGTTTGAACATTAAGAATATATCTACTGAGGATTTTCGATCTGATGGTACAAACAAGCCAGCAGATCTGATGGTACAAACAAGCCAGCAGATCTGATGGTACAAACAAGCCAGCACCTTTGAAAATATTTTTTGTAAATAATCTGGAATCTTGATATTCAACAAACAAAAATCCTTTCAGAATTGGTTGGCCCACTTTTCTGTATAAATTCAATTTTTTCGTAGTTTTTTTGTGAGATGGAACTACAAACTAAAAATTCGTTTTTACATTTGTTTAAATATTTGTCTTTTTTTGCTGTAATCAAGCTTTTTTACCCTAATCATATTTTTAAATAGAGCCGTGGTGCAGACGTAGTTGTTTCGTTTGTAAAAGAGAAAGAAAACAAAAAAGAACAACTACAAAAGCAACAACTTCAACTACGACAACCACGGAAACAACAACAACCACAACAACCACAACAACAACAACCTCAACAACCACAACAACAACACCAGCAACCACAACAACAACAACAACAACAACACCAGCAACCACACCAACAACAACCACAATTACAACAACAACCACACCAACAACCACAACAACAACAATAACCGCAACAACATTTACAACAACACCGAAATTTATTCCCACAACCGTTATTGATTGCCTACCCTGTAAACGCTGTCAGTTACAAAATTTCTTCAACCAAGGTGATACTTTTAGATTTAATAAATTTATTAATTTCATAAAAATTTTATGGTTTTATGATTTTTACAACATAAATAAATAAAAAATTTAACTGCATTCATTTTTTCCTGATCTGATATATACATAGATAAATAAATAAACATAGATAGCTTATGTACGCAAAATCACCAAGAATTGTACAGTCCGCGAACTCATACTTCTAGGGGTCAAAGTGTACTTCAATGATAAGCGGGGTGTTTTGGTGTAAAATAACTCCGGGAATGGAACTTTTTGAACAACAACATTTCACTGAGCAATAAATCATATTGACGAGAACTGAAGAAGGACATGAGAAGGACTAAACTAACATAAATTTCTCTCTACAGAACTCATGTACACCACAAGTACTCAATGACATAAGAACAGCCAATGTTCACAACCGACCTAGTTAACATCTCTCATTTATATCTTTTAAGATGAAAAATGTCTCTTATGCGCAATCTATCTTTATCTATTGATATATATTTTTAGATTATTTGTATGAAGTTATATCAAACCAGTATAGAAATAATATTAAAATGTTAAAGGTAAAAAATATTTAGGTGTTTGTCTCCGAGTGTGCCAGGGTTGTCCTCCCAATATATTTCAAATAACCATTAAACCATCAGATCCTACAACAACAACAACAACAACAACAACAACTACATCATCACCTGTGGCTACAACAACAACAACTCCAACAACAACTACATCATCACCTGTGGCTACAACAACAACTACATTTTTAACTCAGGTTACTTGCAGGATCTGCAACAGCTGCCGTAGTGTCCCTTTTATCAAAGAAACAGGAAAATTGAATATTATTTAATTTATTTTAAAAATTAAGTTTTAAAACACAAAATATTATTTAATTTATTTTATACAAAAAATGTTGAATTTAGCAATAGCAAACTAATTTTTTTGGTTTTCTTACGTTTAGTTGTATATCTTCAGTCAGAGGTAAAATTCGCATAATGTTACAAAAGCACACCTGTAGAGATTAAGATTTGAAAAATTGTCAGTGACTATTATAAACCTGATTAATTAATTTCTGGAAATAAATAGGAAAAAATTGTAATTTAAAGAATTTAGAGTTATTCGATTTTTTAGTGTATTGCAAAACATACTGTGAAAAATGTCAACAATTGATAAGTAAGTATATTTACTTTCAGGGAAAAAATGTTTTGCCGTTCATATAAATTCGTTTTTAATATAAGATGTTTATATTTTTCACTTCATGGGGCCTACATTTTGACCCAGTTAAAAGTTTTAGATGAGAAAGAATAAAAGAGATAAATAAAGGTTGCTGAACATATTTCGATCATAATTAAATATTTAAAATAAAATTTGCAATGTGTAAAAATCTTCAAATTATTTTTTCTTTTCATTTTTTAGATGACAATGAAATAAAATTTGGTAAAAACTTCCATTTAAACTTTTAATTGTCGCTCTACAATACAATAACAATAGCAACAACAAAAGTTCGCAGATTTAATGAAATTTTTTCGTAGATTTTCAAACGTGAACTGACTCAAACATTATGGGACCTATCGGTTCAGCCGTTATGACGTTTTATTAAATACAAACAAACAACCAAATCACAATATACAGATTGCCATTAGTCCATTTAAATATATTTAGATTACACTTTTTTAAAAACTGGAATTGAATATAATCTAAACATTTATAAACTACAGTTTATTCAGCATCAGTTGAATCAACCGCTGTATCTGTGTCGACGGAGTCACCTGAAGATAAAACCTGTGAGAACTTGATAACTGAAGAAGCCTGCAGGGAACTACACTCTATTTACGAACAATATAATCAGAAGAAAGATATTTGCAGAAAAGAGTATTTCAAAGGAAACAAATATTCTTTTTTAAACATTAGCTTGGGAACCCAGCGTTGCACAGGATACTCATAGTTACTCCCACCGTTTACCCGCGCATGGTCGCAAATTTCGATTTTCGTTATTTTTCCTATAAAAGTCGACCCACTCAATCAAAACGAAAATTTGTATTTGAAGCAATTATAGTCCTTAATCATTAAAATAATTGTTGAGGTCTCAAATTTGTCGATTTTTCAACAGACAACGCTTTTAAAAGCAATATTCAAATAGGGGTTAATCTTAATATCACGAAGCACAAAGGATGCGAATTAGCGGATTATTCATACTAAAGTTCCCAGCTCAGAATATTTCAGATTTACAGGTGTTTGCAGAGCATACTGTCATGTTCTAACTAAAACATGTGATGAACCTGCAGTGAAGATTAAAGGGACTGTATACCTAATATCGTAACACTCCCCCCCCTGGATGAATTGCCCGTCCTATTCACAATTTTGTATTCATTTAAAGGGAGTGTTCGCGAAAAATGAAAGGGGGTATAGGCTTAATGCGATAAAAAAGCGCTTTTGATCGCTAATAACCTTATCTATCTGTTGCGTCTATAAGGAGAAAATTGTTAAAGACGTCTCATACCGAATAACTTAGCACCCATACAAATTCAGAAGATTGCAACATATGACTTACACCGTAAAAAATCAATTTAATTTCAAACAAATCATTCAGATATTACAACCTATATTCATCGATTATCTTTCGCCACATTTGTATAGTTTATATTTTATAATATTTTTTAATTAATTTGTTTTGAATTTGATTATTTCTCTTGTCGCTTGCGCAACTATCTAAGAACGCCGCGCACCACTCACATTTTTCGAAATCCGTTAAAACGTTTTCTAAAAAAATAAAATATTTTAAAATATAAACTATATACAAATGTGGCGAAAGATAATCGATGACTATAGGTTGTAATATCTGAATGATTTGTTTGAAATTAAATTGTTTTTTACGGTCTAAGTTGTGTGTTGCAATTTTCTGAATTTGTATGGGCGCTAAGTTATTCGTTATGAGACGTCTTTAACAATTTCTCCTTATAGACGCAACAGAAAGAAGTAAAATTAGTAGTGATCAAAAGCGCTTTTTTATCGTATTAAGCGTATACCCCCTTTCATTTTTTGCGAACACTCCCTTTAAGTATTATGTATAAGGAATATTTTCAAAACATGTTAAATCCTATTATTTTAATTTTTTATCCTTTAATCATAAATCCTCGAATCACTTTTATAGTGAAATTTTAAAAAAACATATTTTTAACTGCAAAATGTTTAGCATGCAATATTTTTGCCATTCTTCTAGAAATTACGTCCACAGTCCTTTTTAAGATGTAACTAACCTGAACCAGTGCACCAGCTTGGATAATCACTGTGCTCAGGAGGTGGCTGAACTACTTGAGGGTATTAATGACTCAACAAACAAAGCTGAAAACTTTCCTTTCAAAGAGGCGCAGTATCTTTGCTTGCAGGGGAATGCGTTCTTCAGACCTGTTTGTCCAGGCTTCTGTAATATATGTGTTGAACCCACAGGTGAATAATCAGAAATTCACACTTGCTGCAGAAAATTTTATTTCCTAATTACTAAATCTTCACAAACTGTGTGTACACACTTGAAATTTAAGATCTTTTGAACGACACGAGTTCATTGTTTAAAATATTAAAGTTGTCAAGAAATAAGGGTTACAAATTTCAAAGACTAAATTTTGACTATGGCAAGAACCAAAAAACTGTGTAATGGGAAGACGACAAAAAAACAATACTAAAATGTATTAGATGTTGTTACAAATAGTGTCAATAGTGACTTCTTAAATCCATTATTCAGTGAAATGTGTCAGTTAACGCTGAACAATTGAAGGGTCTTATATGTTCATTCGAATTTTTAAAGTCATAACTTGTGTCTACAAGTCTTCTTCTTATTCCGGGTCTCCCTGTATATCCCAAACTTATTTATTAGTTTTTTACTTTCGGAAAGATGTTTTTTATTTTCCTAATTTTATTGTTATTTCAGAGATCACCAGGACACCCAACCTAACATCTTCCATTGCTACTACGTCAACAGTACGGTTAACTACAGCTACTAATTCAGGGACTACTCCTACTACTACTACATGGACTACTCCTGCTACTACTGCTACAACAAAAAATACCCCAGGGGTTACCACTGCTACTGGTACACCAAAAGATACCCCTGATGCCAGCACAACTCCAGCTCCTGCTGAAGAATCCTGCAAAGATGTAAAAGAATGCATGCTCAGGTTTTTCGCTGAAGCTTGGACAATGTTTGATAGATGCTTGAAGGAAAAAATCGTTAGAGTATTTTAATAAAACGGATCCTGCAATTACAAATTTCATTCTTTTATTTATGATACATAGGTTGCTTTATATTAATTATGCGTCAATTCCATTGAAATTTTGACTCAGAACATTCAGATTGTCAACAATGTGATCGTTTGGATTAGGATAATTTTGAACAATACTAACATTTAAATTATTTATAATTATTCGCAACTACTTTACAGGGAATTTAAGAGAATTTCCTAGGGTTTCCAAGACCGATAGTTTAGTAAAATGTTTAAATGCCCGAAAAAGTAGTTGTACACAATTTATTCGTCTTTTGAGATCAAAATGCGCAAATATTTTTACAAATATTTGTTGGTCAAATTAGGCGGTATACAATATTTGCTATTCCGGAGTATGAATTTGTATATTAATATCTTGTAGTGTACCAACAGAATCTCTCCTCTCATCGTATAAATCTAAAACAAATATAAAAATGTTGATATCCAAGTTTGATATATAAAATGTCTACTGCATCTGACTGCAAAGATAGAAGGATTAGAAGATGTGAGTTTGTGGCAAAGGCTTATTCTTTAAGAGATATTTATCTACCAACCGTAGCATGGAACATAACTATAAACTAACAGACTAATTTCTTAAATTAATTAAATAATGCTAGAAGAAAAAATAGCGCTAGATAAAAAAAAACAGAAAAAGCAAAGACTTTTATTAGAAAGCTGGATGGGATTAGCAAAACTTGAAGATATCTCAAGAAAAAAATAGTCAAAAGATTCTGCATGAAAATCTTTTAATTAACTGTTTGGTGTTATCATGCCGAACAATATGTTTTTTCCGGAACTTGTTCGGTAAGGTTAACGTTTTTTTAAAGATATTTTTTTTATAAAAATCCGAAAATTTTTAAGAAAATATGCTTTGCCGGTTTTAAATTTTACTTCTTTGCCTCGGAACAAATAAGTTTTGGATGAACTAAAGATCAGAAAATTGTCAGTAGTAATGTGAGATAAAAATTCTCTAAACTATAATATATTTAATTCTAAAAGGATAGGATCCATTTTTATTTCATACGTTGCATCCCTGATATTTTGGAATTGTTAAAAAAAAAACATTAAACCTTGATCTCTAATGAATTGTCGTCTCTTCTCCATTTCCTCCCGACATTCTTTCATCCACACTTCTTCTCTTTTTTGTCGTTTACTCTCTTCCTCTTCTCTCCTTCGTTTCTTCTTTGCATGCTGCTTCTCCCACTTCTCGTACTCAGTTGGGGGCTTTCGAAACCAATCATAACATCCTTTTAGATGCATGTGACCTAGAAGAAAAAATTTAAAAATCTTTTTGTTTTTAGGGGGGACCCAGGAGGGGGGTGAGCCCACATAGCCCCCCCCCTGAATACGCCTCTGGATAATAACATAGAAATTTACAAACATATTTCGGAATGGAGTGAGATTTAAAAGATTGAGATTTGATTTTGATGGTTATTATATCGTTAGAACTGACGAGGGTCAACCCAGACCGAAATATATTTTCAATAAATGTGGAACTAACATCTACTGTTTTACTCTACAGAGGTTTTGTCCATCACCATCACTGAATTTTAAAAGAACAAAACTTTTAAGTTTTAAAGATAAAGGAATTGAGTTTTTGTCACAAACTCTGATTTTCTTATCCCTATATCTTTGCATTTCAAGGTCGGAGACCTTAGATATTTCAAACTATGAATGTTTTTAGATCAAATAATGATAGTTTGAAATATCTAAGGTTAACACTATCAGGTTGCAAAGATATAGCGATTTGAAAATCAGAATTTGTGGCAAAAACTCAGTTCCTTTCTATAAAATTGGAAGTGCCAGGCAAAACCCAGGAATTAAATAAGCGACTTAATAGTATTTACATATAAACTACATACAAAAATACAAAAAAATTTGATTTTTAATTATGAAAATTTTGAAGTTCTAACTGAAAACGACATTTACATGGGTCTTTAGTCTATTTTTTCTAGTCTTTACTTTCCAAAAGAAATCTTTTCATGCAATTATTTCCAAACCAAATAAAACCTTATGGCCCAACCTGTCGTCGTTGCCTTAGTCTGTTCCACTTTAGTATTTATTCATTTTGATTATAAATTGGGAAAAGTTTTTTACAGGACTATTTATTTTTTCCAGTTTATTTTGATGAAAACAAATTAGAAAATGTAACCTATATAGTTTTATTAAATATTACCGATCTATTTGATAGCAGGATTAAATATTAATAGGAGGGTGATAAAGTTACTTTTTTAGGTGTCGTAAATTCCAACGACATTTAAAAACGTGTTATACCTTCTTCATCCACAACTATCAGATAGGAACAGAACAGGCAGAAAAAGCAGGAAAATATGAAGATCGTCAGAGGAACTTAAAAATAACAAAATATAAGATTTTCAAAATTATTTTTAATTTGTTTTTAAAATTTACCTAACAACATTATGAGAAATATCTGCTGTGAATACTAAAATAAAAAATAATCAAAAAAAACTATTTATAGTTCGCAGTGCTATAAAGTTTTAGAACAGTAATTGGTTTTTTTCTCGAGAAGGTTCAATCTTTTTTATAGATTATATTTTGTCCCAAGCTTTAGCAAGGTATAAAAAAAAAGTCCAAAAAGTTTATTAGACGTCGTGCAAAAATAATAGAGTTACAGGTATAATTTTTATGAAATGATTGTGTATTGTGGCAATGGTTATTCTAGATATAAGCTTCCTAACAAGAAATAAAAGTATATTTCAATTTAATTCTAAAACTATCTAAAACTATTCTTTTTGAGAAAATCTTGGAGCCAATGAAACTTTATAGCCCGTCAATAATAAAATTTAATATGAAACTTTATAGCCCGTCAATAATAGAATTTAATATGAAACTTTATAGCCCGTCAATAATAAAAATTTAATATGAAACTTTATAGCCCGTCAATAATAGAATTTAATATGAAACTTTATAGCCCGTCAATAATAAAATTTAATATGAAACTTTATAGCCCGTCAATAATAAAATTTAATATGAAGCTTTATAGCCCGTCAATAATAAAATTTAATATGAAGTGACTATGAGCGATAAAGTACACCGCAATAGGAAAAATCATAAAATTGAAAACTTATTTTACAAATCTAACTTGAAGGTCTAGATGAGATGTAACAAAATCTCCATGGGTTGGTGTATAGTAGCAAGGGAACCTAGAGGGAGAAGTGTAGTTTCGGCCATCCTGCCAAATAATAATATATTTCTTTAAATCATACTTTTATTCTTGTTTTATTCTTTACATCCCCATATTATTGTTATTCATATTTTTATAATGACTAGCATTTTTAATTTTACTCCTATTCTTCTTATCTTTATCTAATCAAAATTTTTATTTTATTTTTATTTTACAATTAAAATGTTCTCATTATTACTAATTTCAATTTTATTTTGATTTTAGTAGAAATATTGATTCTTGTTTTTATTAAACTTAGAATCGAATTACAGGTTTTTTAGAATCCGATTTGTTAACAAAAAAAAGAAGAATTAAGTGATAAATTTATGTAATTTATGTAACTTATGTAATTTATGTAATTTATGTAATTTATGTAATTTATATGATTTATGTAATTTATGTAATAAGGAACTGAGTTCTTGCCACAAACTATGATTTTCTAATTACTATATCTTTGCAATCCAATGTCGTAGACCTTAGATATTTCAAATGTTATATTAATTAATGTAAGTTTGAAATATCAAAATTTTGCACAATCAGGTTGCAAAGAAATAGGGATTCAAAAATTTGAGGTTGTAGCAAAAACTCAATTTCTTTTAATTTAATCACCTTCCCGAATTCTCTATGAAACTTTGTACACTCCTCAGTTAAAGTATTAGAGCATCCCTCATGATTCATCTTTAACTACAATAATATTTATAAAAATAAAATATTCAAAGTTAGGCTCTCAGGGTTATCGCAACCATCTTCTTTTTTAATAATTTTTTTATTTTAATTTATAATTTTTTGGTGAATTTTTAAAATTTGACGAAAATAAAAAATTGAAGACAATTTTTTGTGAATCTGAGCATCCATACATATTCCCTGGTGTCATTCGAGGTCCAAAAATCATTAGGACCGTTTTGACGTATCGATTACTTTCCAACTTAAGCAATCAGACAGACAAACAACGTATATATATATATATATATATAGAAGAGTAATGAATAAAAAAATGAATTAATTAAAAAATTTAATTCATGATCGCAAGGGATCTAATTACTCGCCTCAAACTCTAATATATAAATCCTGAACTTTTTAAACCGTAGCAATTTCAAACTTTATTTATTTATTTATTTGAATCAAATTGAGCCTATATTAAACAAAGATATAATAGCAAGTATGATTATATATTTAAGACTAGAAACCAACTTCTATGGGACGAACACCTTATAAAAAAAACCTTAATAAAAAACCTTGNTTTACATTAGTTCCGTTTACACAATCCTAGCAATTTACATTAGTTCCGTTTACACAATCCTAGCAATTAACATTAGTTCCGTTTACACAATCCTAGCAATTAACATTGTTCCGTTTACACAATCCTAGCAATTTACATTAGTTCTGTTGACACAATCCTATCAATTTACATTAGTTCCGTTTACACGATCCTAGCAATCTACATTAGTTCCGTTTACACAATCCTAGCAATTTACATTAGTTCCGTTTACACAATCCTAGCAATTAACATTAGTTCCGTTTACACAATCCTAGCAATTAACATTAGTTCCGTTTACATAATCCTAGCAATTTACATTAGTTCCGTTTACACAATCCTAGCAATTTACATTAGTTCCGTTTACACAATCCTAGCAATTTACATTAGTTCCGTTTACACAATCCTAGAAATTACATTCTTGAAATCTACAGTTTTGGCTGTTTAACTAATTATACACAATTTTGAAAGTTAGCCACGAAGTCAAGCATGTAAAATTACTGGTACATCTGTACAAAAGTGTGCGTTTAACAATTTTTTTATATTAGAAATTTAAAACATTTTTTTATGACGAAATGCGTGAAAGGAATGGCGTCTTGCCGCAAACTCAAATTTGCTAATCCCTGTGTCGGTTTAACCTGATGGTTTAAAACTTTACTATTTAAAACTATTATTTTATCTAACAGAATACATAGTTTGAAATATCTAAGATCTACAAAATTGGATTCCAAAGATAAATGGATTAGAAAATTAGAGTTTGTGACAATTCTTTTTCTTTGATTTGACGTATCTTTCAATAAAACCTGCTTTAAATTAAATCCTGACTCAGTTAACAATATATAATAAAATATTTAAAAATTGTTAAAGTGACAACTTAAAATATAGATAAATTATAAATAAATTTAGATATATACCTTTGCGATGTACGATGTGTTTTCAGGATTCATTATATCCAGTTCTACAGATATACAGTTGGCTAAATACAGACAATATACATTATATCCAGTTCTATAGATATACAGTTGGCTAAATACAAACAATTTTTAATTTTACAATATTTTATTTAAAAATTAGTATTAATTACAACTACTAGCAAACTCAACTTTGGATGGAAAGTGAGAAGTTTTAAAAATGCCAAGAACATTCCTGTGGTTCTACCGAGTTCCAAAATCAACATTTTAAGCAAATCTTCGTGAGTCATGATTGGACATCCAAACAAAAAAACAAACAAAAAGAAACCCATACAGAGACTTATATACTTTATATATATATTTGAACATATGCGTTCTCTGTTTGATTGACGAATTTGAAATTTTTTTTCCTCAAAGGAATTGAATCTTTGCCACAAATTCAAAGTTTCTAATCCCTACATCTTTGCAAACTGAGGCCGAATTTAAAGAATTTGAGCCGCGGCTTTATATGGTTGGTTCCACTTAAAATTGTATTCAATGTATCAAGATTTAAGCCTGCGCGTAATTGAAACCGGTTTTGGTGGATTTAAGACGCGGCTCTGATTGTGTAAACTTAAACTATTTGATCTAACAGAAATCATAGTTTGAAATATCCAAGGTCTACGACATTGGGTTAAGGAGATATAGGGATCAGTAAATCAGAGTTTGTGGCAAGGACTCATGGTTCCCTTAGAAAATTGATATTTTTTCGGAATTCATTTTTCAATGTCGACCAGTTAGAAACCTTCTCATGGTTCATGTAAGTTGCCCCTAAAAATTTGGGCCCATTCGGTTCGAGGTGTTTTGGCATTTATTACCTAGAAGAGTGTTCGTTTCATCATTTTGCCAAATAATATCTCCAGAATTTGCATGTTCAACACTCTGACAGTCTGCCAGCAGTATCCTGTCTCCACTCTACTAGATCCGGCAGCTCCGCCCCGGGATCTCCGGCCAAGGAACGGTTGGTGGAAGGGGCGGAGGAAGTAGATGTTAAGGTCAGTAGTTAAAGGGACGTTCCTTTAATCTGTAATTTTTTGAGGACTAAATTCAGGGAATAGCTTGGGCTTGCTTTAATTTCAACCCATATATACATTATACATACCATAACAGTTTAATCAAGGAAAAGGGGATAGGGATGTATCTTTTAGAACACTGGTTTTTTTAATGAATAAGAAACATTGATTTGTGACAAGGCCTTCCGGCTTACTCGGAAAATTCCGATTGTTGTTATTTAGTGATAAGTTTAGTTTTAATACTGCACGGTAAATGTGTGCACAAACCCTGTCCACCATCTCTTCAATTAAATCTGATATAATTAACATTCAACCTACAGTCAAAGTATCATGTCCTGTAGGCTATGCTACGTTGAGCCCCAGGGTTGAGCTCATAGCCACTTACCCTCTCTTTTTGGGTTTAAGTGAATCAAATCCGAGTGTGAATGATTTAAGGATTCACTGTGTAAGCCAGATAAGTAAGGACTAAGACGCCATTAAAACTTTTTTATGAAAATGTTAATTATTGATTAGGAGAAGTATATTGACCCTGTTCTACGGGCTGAATACCTGCAGTGGAAGAAACTACCCAACCTGGAGCCTGGCAACCCCTTCCTTAGCAGGGTTTTCACGGAGGACATTGATCCATGTCTGGAGTTCACCAACAAGGAGCTGGGGGCCAGGGTAAAGGAGGCCGTTATACAGAATACACTCTGCCTAGATCCTGTCAAGGTAAATCATGTGCATACACACCTCACCAATGTTCCCCTCCTCAACTTTTCTTTACTCTGCAAGTGTACTCAATGCGACATTTTAAAACTATATTTATTAAAGTATAAACAGAATTTTCTAGACATTGAATAATGAATTATATATATGTACTTTTATTTTTGACCTATTTAGCGGATTTTCATTAATATGTCTTCTATTTTTTTCTTTTGAAGGAGAAGAAAATTAATATTTATAATAATATCTCCGGTCCCCCCTTCAATAGGTTTAAGAATCAGTATTCTCCAGTCCCCCCTTCAATAGGTTTAAGAATCAGTATTCTCCAGTCCCCTCTGAGTAGGTTTAAGAATCAGTATTCTCCAGTCCCCTCTGAGTAGGTTTAAGAATCAGTATTCTCCAGTACCCTCTGAGTAGGTTTAAGAATCAGTATTCTCCAGTTCCCTCTGAGAGGGTTTAAGAATCAGTATTCTCCAGTCCCCCCTTCAATAGGTTTAAGAATCAGTATTCTCCGGTCCCCTCTGAGTAGGTTTAAGCATCAGTATTCTCCAGTCCCATTCTGACTAGGTTTCAGAATCAGTATTCTCCAGTCCCCTCTGAGTAGGTTTAAGAATCAGTATTCTCCAGTCCCCTCTGAGTAGGTTTAAGAATCGGTATTCTCCGGTCCCTTCTGAGTAGGTTTGAGAATCAGTATTCTCAAGTCCCCTCTGAGTAGGTTTAAGAATCAGTATTCTCAAGTCCCCTCTGAGTAGGTTTAAGAATCAGTATTCTCCAGTCCCCTCTGACTGAGTAGGTTTAAGAATCGGTATTCTCCAGTCCCCTCTGAGTAGGTTTAAGAATCAATATTATTTCTCCAGTCCCCTCTGAGTAGGTTTAAAAATCGGTATTCTCCGGTCCCCTCTGAGTAGGTTTAGGAATCAGTATTCTCCGGTTCACTCTGAGTTAGTAAAAGAATCAAATTACAATATCTTTAGATTCAGTTGTTTTCGAACTGCCATCATCTCTCAGTTACAGCAATGCATTCTTTGTTATTGTTATTTATAGGTAGCTTTTATTTCACCATACTTTTATGTATTCATTCATTCTCGAAAAAATCATTCATTATTTTCCAATTCATTTCTTTTAGAATTTGTATTTTTTTTGTAAGTGTACTTTTTGTACAGTATACTGCTAACACAATTATTATTAGTATTGTACCATACTGTACAACTTAATAATTCATCTAAAGCTTTGGTGCATGTTAAATAAAAAAATATCTCAACAAATATTTCGCTTAAAGTTTTTTAAAAGTAGGTTGCTAAAAAGTTAACTGTATTGTCTAACAAAGAAAAGAGATAAATGGTATGAAGTAAATATTTTAGGTTTACACTTTACCCTTTGCTCTTCTACCCAGCCCAACAAAAAACAGGAAACAGTGATAACATAAAATTTTTTTTGCATCAATTAAGATGGAAAATAGATCAAACATTTTAAAAACATTTTTTCGAATTCAAATTTTTGTTTCTGAATGTTTCATTAAAATTGTTTGAATGATTTATGTATCAGTGTAGGAGACTGTATCTGCTGCTAGGGTTGTGTCCCAACAATGCAAAACTTTAACAATTAATCAGTACAGTCCGTAAGTCGTCTTCTGTTTAGATCTGACTGTATGGATCTATAGGGTCGTCTTCTGTTAAGATATATCTGGTTAAATCTGTAAGATTGTCTCCTGTTAGATATATCTGTATAAATCTGTAAGATCGTCTTCTGTTTAGTTCTAATAAGGTCGTCTTCGTAGTTTTGACTGTATGAAATTTATTTGGTCATCTTCTCTTTAGTTCTGACTGTATAACTCTATAAAGTCATCTTCTGTTTAGTTCTGACTGTATATAATCTATAAGGTCGTCTTCTGTTTAGTTCTGACTGTATAAAATCTATATGGTCGTCTTCTGTTTAGTTGTGACTGTATCACTATGTAAGGTCGTCTTTTGTTTTACTCTAACTTTATAACACTATATGGTCGTCTTCTCTGTAGCTCTGACTGTATGAAACAAATAAAGTTTAGTTTAGTTCTGACTGTATAAAATATAAGGTCGTCATCTGTTTAGTTTTGACGGTATAAATCTATAAATTCGTCTTCTGTTTAGTTCTGACTGTATAACTCTATAAGATAGACTTCTGTTTAGTCCTGATTGTATAACTCTATAAGATCGACTCTGTTTAGTTCTGACTGTATAACTTTAAAAGGTCGTCTTCTGTTTAGTCCTGACTGTATACAATATATATGGTCACCTTCTGTCTAGTTCTGACTGTATAAAAAACATTTAAGCTGTCATCTTCTGTTTAGTTCTGACTGTATAATTCTACGAGGTCGTCTTCTGTTTATTTCTGACTATATAACTCTACAAGGTTGGCTTTTGTTTAATTCTAACTGTATAACTCTACAAGGTCGCCTTCTGTTTAGTTCTGACTGTATAACTCTACAAGGATGTCTTCTGTTTAGTTTTGTGTGTATAAAATCTATAATTTCGTCTTTTTTTTAGTTCTGAGTGTATAATATCTCTAATGTCGTCTTCTATTCAGTTCTGACTGGAATATATTGAAGCCTGTAAAAGATGGAAAGTGGGTTCTTCCCTTCAGTGTGAAGGTAAATATTTATCTTTTTAAACTGTGAAAATATAACAAAAAAGTTTACAAATAATAGAACAAAAGCTTTGAAACATTAAAACAAAGATAAAAGTACATTAAGGTTCATTGTAAAGGGACTCTTGTGAACTTTAATTTAAAAAAGAGGGGCATGCCTGATTCACAATTTTAACATTTCAGGTTCATGAACCTAACACAATTTTTCGAATTGATTTTGCATCGAGAGATGAAGAGGAAGACCAAGGTGGGAAGGAGGAGGAGGAGGAGGAGGAGGAGGAGGAAGATGGGATGAAAAAAGAAGAAAATGAGATTAAAGAAGAATTGAGCATGGATGTTAGGGAAATTATTAATAATCAGATTGAGAAGGATGGTGGATTTGAGGCAGTCTGAGAAACTTCAGTGTTTTATGTGATACTGGCATGGTATCTTTCCATATACAAATATGTTGACCAACAGGTTAAATATAGGTAAAATATTCACGTAGTTTTTACAAGTTACACACTCAAAATTTGATAGAAATCGCCCGGTTAAGGGGTCAATGTGTTTTGATCAGACAAACAAACAAACAAACACACAACAGACCCAAACACCCAACTACTTTACTACTTTACTACTTTATATATATATTTATTAGCTTGAGAAACCAGCGTTGCCCAGGGTACTATACTCATAGTTATTCCCGGTGTTTACCCGCGCTTGGTCGTTAATATTGATTTTAACTATGTTTCTCTATAAAAGTGGACCCACCAACCTAATATTGAAATCTTTTATGTTTAAATCATAAATCTTCTAATTGAAGTGATAAGATAAGATAAGATAAGATATAGTTTATTGCTAAAAATACACATACAAGTTGTAATGTTACGTTCAAAAAATCTGCAACTATTTTTATATTGTTTACTATATTTATGCAACTATACTAGCATAATAAAATAATTGATTTATCAGTTTTAAGTTTAGTACGTTTAACAGAATAAGAATAAGCATGTACAAAAATCTACAAAGTTCTTTAATCATTTTTTGCAAGAATAACAAAAGGGATTATTGCACTTTAAGATGTAGACGTCAGATAACATTTTAAATAAACTTTTTTAAAGATACCTAACGAGGCACTAGCTATTGAGAAAAACAAAAAAGTTTTGAATTTAAAGTCTTTAACCAATAAATATATTTTCTTTTCTAATATTTGACCAACTTTATATTTGTGTTTAAAATTATAAAACTAGAGAAGCTACGAGGTTCAAAGTCTCACCAATTAAGTTAAATACATTTTACATTCTCCCTCTGTCTAGTTTGCCGTGATATATATCGGTGATTTGTCAGTTTATATTCTTGGTGACGCAAGCAATGTGAAAGTTGAATAACATTAAATAAACTTGAGTTTGTGCGGTGCAATATAAATACTGCAGAATCCATTCATTTTGTAATAAATCTTTATTTCTATAATTTTGTTTAAGCATGATTAACAGGATAAAAATCAAAATAATCTCTGAAAAAAACCTGATAAAATTCACCTATTTCACATTCATACATGAGAGTGATATTTTTACACGTTCCTCCTCTTTGCTTCTGATAATCCTCTACACCTGGCTGGTAGGGATCCTCACATCTACATTTTTCAATTCAAATTATTTTTTAAAAATTTCATGTTCGNATTGAAAAACTACAAAAATATTTTATGATTTTTAAAATTTTTAATTATGCTCCCTCTAATCCCAGAGTAACCATTCAATTGCGACAAAAATAAACAATTGCTCTTAATTCTTTTATTAAGTGTTGGCGTTGTAATTTCAAGTTTCAAGAAACCCTTTATTTAGAGTGAAATGTCAACCTTTGTCTGAAAGAAATGATGAGAGAATTAAATCTCTTTTTTAAAATTAAAAAGATTTCGGATTTATACTATACATTTCAGGAGAGAAAGAAGAAAATTATCATTAAAATGACAATATCTTTCTCATTGTTACTCAGATAAAGGTTTAAAGGGTCCCGTTGTGAATCAGATACGCTAATCTTTAAATTGAGAGTCTCTTAAAGTCCCTTTAAAAAATATATAATCCTAATTAACCTGATTTGTGTATTAAAACACCCATTCAGCCTGATATTGCTCCCATGATTTCGTACACTGAAAAATAGCAAAAGATATTTCAAACATTATTATAAAAGGAATGGAGGGTCCGTCCTAGTTTACGATTTTTTGGGGGGACGGGGGAGGGGTTCAAAAATGGTTCTCTAGGAAATTATCAGAAATGGATTTTTGAAAAATGCGATAAAGGTAATTTTGTGTCAGCATCAAAGCTAATTTCAAACTCTTTGACAATCATTGGTTAAAAAATAGGAATTGTAATGTTTTCGGGATTTTTTCATTCTAGTCCCTGGAAGGTATTTCTGATAATGTGAAAGGTTACAGAAATATTTAATAAAATTGCGCGAAAAAAAAGTGTACTGAAATAGACAGAAGATAAAATATTGTATTCAATTAAACAAAATTTAATAGAATGAATGATGATCATTGAAGGTGGAAATCTGAACACAACTTTTTGCACAATTCTGCACAAAAGTTGTCCTGCGCAATCTGATTTGGACAGAATTGCGAAAAATTACTCAAAAATTAGCTTCCGGTGGAAAGCCAGCACCTGGTATATACATGGATACAGGAGTCAGGGGGCTGGGTAGAGGATAAACACCACTCCATACATGACCACCAAGAGCACTCATGGGATTCAACATATCTAAACATCCAAAAACGATGAACTGAATATTAAAGCATGTCTGTAAAAAGCTGGAAACGATAAAATTCCCAAAAGTGTCAATGTCCAATTTACTAAATTGACATGGAATATTTTTCCGTTTGGTCAGTTAATCAATATCAATTAATTGTTAAGCTCCCTTAAATCGTGCATCAATACTCTTTCCCTAAGTGAAGTTGCACAAAAGTTGTCCTGCGCAATCTGATTTGGACAGAATTGCGAAAAATTACTCAAAAATTAGCTTCCGGTGGAAAGCCAGCACCTGGTATATACATGGATACAGGAGTCAGGGGGCTGGGTAGAGGATAAACACCACTCCATACATGACCACCAAGAACACTCATGGGATTCAACATATCTAAACATCCAAAAACGATGAACTGAATATTAAAGCATGTCTGTAAAAAGCTGGAAACGATAAAATTCCCAAAAGTGTCAATGTCCAATTTACTAAATTGACATGGAATATTTTTCCGTTTGGTCAGTTAATCAATATCAATTAATTGTTAAGCTCCCTTAAATCGTGCATCAATACTCTTTCCCTAAGTGAAGTATGCATGTGCATTCACTTTATTCTATGTTAACAAGAATTTGAAATTTTGTTTTCTCTATTTCGGTTTTGTGCAAACATTCTTTAAATATAACAACTGTTATAAACACTTTTTTATAAATATAAAAACTGAGTACAGTCCACCACACTATTCTGTGCTGTTTAGGTAAATAGGTGAAGAGTGCAGCTAGACAATCTATATAGTTTAAAATCCAGCTTGTTTTATGACTTAGGGGGGGGGGATAATACAAGGGATAAGAACTGATATGTGTCACCAGTGTATCCTCGTTTTTCTATATTGTGACTTTTGTGATATACTGCAACAGAAACAGGGAACATAAATTGCATAATTCAACACTTTCAAGTTTGAAAAACGACGATATTCAAATTGTACAGCTGTGAATCGATCATGCCACTTTTGTTTTCATTGAGGATCACGTGAATTTACGTCGAAAGACCCATATAATGTAAACTCCTACCTAGAGGTCTGACACATGACAGGGTTTAAAAGAAGTCCTTCTTCCTTCTCCCGGGCCGTCGGAAGATAAACCATGAATGTATTATAGATCAGTGCAACCATAGACCAAACCTATAGTACAATACAAAACATTATGTATTATAGATCAGTGCAACCATAGACCAAACCTATAGTACAATACAAAACATTATGTATTATAGATCAGTGCAACCATAGACCAAACCTGTAGTACAATAAGTGCAACCATAGACCAAACCTGTAGTACAATACAAAACATTATGTATTGTAGATCAGTGCAACCATAGACCAAACCTGTAGTAAAATACAAAACATTATGTATTATAGATCAGTGCAACCATAGACCAAACCTGTAGTAAAATACAAAACATTATGTATTGTAGATCAGTGCAACCATAGACCAAACCTAGTAAAATACAAAACATTATGTATTGTAGATCAGTGCAACCATAGACCAAACCTATAGTACAATACAAAACATTATGTATTATAGATCAGTGCAACCATAGACCAAACCTGTAGTACAATACAAAACATTATGTATTATAGATCAGTGCAACCATAGACCAAACCTGTAGTACAATACAAAACATTATGTATTATAGATCAGTGCAACCATAGACCAAACCTAGTACAATACAAAACATTATGTATTATAGATCAGTGCAACCATAGACCAAACCTGTAGTACAATACAAACCATCATGTTACAATACAAAACATTATGTATTATAGATCAAGGGAAGGTTTGAGATTTCAAACCTACTAGCAATGTACTTTAGTTTGACCTGCCTACCCTTGAATTATAATTATTGATTTATTAATTTTATGATTTTATAATAAATGAAAAGATTGATTTAGTTGACCACTCTTTAATCTTTAAAACCGCGGTGCTAATATGTGACTAGATACTTTGAAGGGTTACTATTTAGGACTTACGGGTTTAATTTATTCTTCTTAGAGTCAGAATAACCTTTTAATGGCGAGCTAAGAAAGGACAACATTTTAAACCTAAGGGCAACCATACAAATTATAGAATATTGAATAAATTAGGTACAGTCGTCTTCAAAGTCTCATCCATTATGATCCATCCATGTCTAACTAGACTAATTTGCACGAAAAATTTAAATCTTTAATCAAAGTAAAAGTTTCGCTTAGATAAGTTAAAGATAAACTGAGAATCCCCCCAAAAAAAGACATTGAACATTTTGGTCTAACGTAAGATTAAAAGAGGAGCTATGAGGTCACATATCATACAGTTATGTCTTCTTCTTCCGTCTAGTTTATTATAAACACTGCACTTACTGCTGTAAGTTCTACAGTTATGTCTTCTCCTTCCGTCTAGTTTATTATGAACCCTGCACTTACTACTATAAGTTCTACAGTTATATCTTCTCCTTCTGTCTAGTTTATTGTAAACCCTGCACTTACTACTGTAAGTTCTACAGTTATGTCTTCTCCTTCCGTCTAGTTTATTATGAACCCTGCACTAACTGCTGCAAGTTCTACAGTTATATCTTCTCCTTCTGTCTAGTTTATTGTAAACCCTGCACTTACTGCTGCAAGTTCTACAGTTATATCTTCTCCTTCCGTCTAGTTTATTGTGAACCCTGCACTTACTGCTGCAAGTTCTGCAGTTATATCTTCTCCTTCCGTCAAGTTTATTGTAAACCCTGCACTTACTGCTGCAAGTTCTACAGTTATATCTTCTCCTTCCGTCTAGTTTATTGTGAACCCTGCACTTACTACTGTAAGTTCTACAGTTATGTCTTCTCCTTCTGTCAAGTTTATTGTAAACCCTGCACTTACTGCTGCAAGTTCTACGATGAAAAGAAAGAAGCAAAGAAAGGATTCTCTTGGATAAAGAGAACTGGTTGGAGGTTTATCTCGCGCCATTTTATTATTTCATGTTCGCCTGAAAAATTATAAAACCTACATTATCTTTATGAAATTGATTAATGGTGTAACTCATGAGGTAAAAATAAAATAATGAAAGAAATTTTTATTTCGATAAAACAGTGCAAAGTGTAATTTTCTCAATCTTAATTTCATTAAAGTCTAAAATTCGATAAATTACATTTGAGAATTCCAAATATTTCTTTCGTATTTTAAAAATAGGTTTTAAAAATGTTAAATGTTGATTTACCAAAAATTGTCAGACAATAAAACAGACACTGGGCCTTTCATGTACATCAAAACAACTCAGTCTGCCCACAAGAGAATAAACATGCAGAATGCTACATCAAAAAAAAACATCACTCTATGAAAATGTAGTTGGCACGCTTGAAAAAACTACCGTGTTTTATATTCATAAAATTTTTTTTTGGATTGAAGAGAGTTCCACAAGCCTTGAACATAAAGCCAAGCAATTTTCTGCTTCCTTTTTTAAGGATATCAATCATCTTTTTATTCATTTTCAATAAAAAAACAATAAAAAATTAACTTATTGAAACTTAGAAAAAAAGTAGACTAGAATTCAAAAGCGCACAAATTAATTATTTTGCTAATTTCGTACATTGTTATTGTTCTTGTTCATTGTACATCAGAAGATGGTACATAAGTTCTTGTTGTACTAACTACTACTGCAGTACAGCAGGACGGGTAACTTGTTACTGCTAGAATAAAACTAGGCTGATCAAAATAATGCAGATTTTTGTCCAAACTGCGGCATAATTATATTTAATTTCGTGCCATACTATATCTCGTCCCCCCCCCTTCTTTACTTAGTGTTCAATTTAAA